CCATGTAGGTTGTGGCGTCACGTGACGAGGCTTTATAATAGCGAAAACTTAGCATTTTTATTTCTTTTCTTTTAGGTGGACACGTTGGACAGACAACATGTATAGCATGGAATACACACAATGTATTTCTTTTCTCATTGTAGGTAATTGATGTTTTGATCAAAGTTCACGAGCAGTGCATGCTTTGGATTTAATTGATCCTGTGTACATTTAAAACACGTTTATCGATTATTTTCATACAATGGACATTTTTCAGCACCAGTTTGTAACACAGATTTGTATTTTAATCTAGGAGCAGACATTTTATTGTAGGATTTCATTGACATTTACGGAGCTAGCAAGCGATTTTTACGGCATTGCAATTTCTTCTCTCTACGAAAATTCTTGGGCGGTGGCTGCACAACGTTGTTATATGAAGATTTAATACATGTATACCCTGCTAACTGCAGATTTTGAGGTCAATTGGACATGTAGTTTTCGAGAAGATCACATAACATACATGTGGATTTTTTTTTTTCAGAAGAGATTTAATAAAAATATTAAAGGACAAAAAGTGGAGTTGTCGTTCGTCTCCGTTGACAGGATAGCACACATGCAGCTTCATTCAAGAGTTGTAAGTGGAGGGTATAAAAAAAATGGAGGGGGGGGGGGCAAAAGGGGGTCCCAGGTAGACATTTTGTGATATAAACGGTACATAAGAATGGTTAAAAACGCTGATTTATAATATAAATCAATTGCTTTAAAAAAGCAATTGTAAACGGTGTTTCCCCCTTTGAAACATGATTGATTGATATGTGTGTGTGTGTGTGTGTTCCTTTCTTTCCTTCCTTCTTTCTTTCTTTCTGTAAGGTGTCCATATTATTGTGTTACCCGGTTAAGTTTTTATATTTAGTTTGGAAAGTTTTTGTTCTATTTCAGGTCCCGCGCGCGTCTTTGTCTCGCGCCATGTAGGTTGTGGCGTCACGTGACGAGGCTTTATAATAGCGAAAACTTAGCATTTTTATTTCTTTTCTTTTAGGTGGACACGTTGGACAGACAACATGTATAGCATGGAATACACACAATGTATTTCTTTTCTCATTGTAGGTAATTGATGTTTTGATCAAAGTTCACGAGCAGTGCATGCTTTGGATTTAATTGATCCTGTGTACATTTAAAACACGTTTATCGATTATTTTCATACAATGGACATTTTTCAGCACCAGTTTGTAACACAGATTTGTATTTTAATCTAGGAGCAGACATTTTATTGTAGGATTTCATTGACATTTACGGAGCTAGCAAGCGATTTTTACGGCATTGCAATTTCTTCTCTCTACGAAAATTCTTGGGCGGTGGCTGCACAACGTTGTTATATGAAGATTTAATACATGTATACCCTGCTAACTGCAGATTTTGAGGTCAATTGGACATGTAGTTTTCGAGAAGATCACATAACATACATGTGGATTTTTTTTTTTCAGAAGAGATTTAATAAAAATATTAAAGGACAAAAAGTGGAGTTGTCGTTCGTCTCCGTTGACAGGATAGCACACATGCAGCTTCATTCAAGAGTTGTAAGTGGAGGGTATAAAAAAAATGGAGGGGGGGGGGGGGCAAAAGGGGGTCCCAGGTAGACATTTTGTGATATAAACGGTACATAAGAATGGTTAAAAACGCTGATTTATAATATAAATCAATTGCTTTAAAAAAGCAATTGTAAACGGTGTTTCCCCCTTTGAAACATGATTGATTGATATGTGTGTGTGTGTGTGTGTGTTCCTTTCTTTCCTTCCTTCTTTCTTTCTTTCTGTAAGGTGTCCATATTATTGTGTTACCCATGCCAAGAAATCTAAGCTAAAAATTCCGGTAGACCTCCTACGGCACCCATTAGTAGTTAAAGATTTGATTTCATTCAACAAATTAATTTATGACCTTCATGTACGTGTCCCTTAGAACACAGCCATATACCAAATGGTCAATATTAATCATCCATGTAATTTGCTCTATGGGATATTTGCAGAATTTCAACGGAGGCAATTTCTTGGCATGGTTAAGTTTTTATATTTAGTTTGGAAAGTTTTTGTTCTATTTCAGGTCCCGCGCGCGTCTTTGTCTCGCGCCATGTAGGTTGTGGCGTCACGTGACGAGGCTTTATAATAGCGAAAACTTAGCATTTTTATTTCTTTTCTTTTAGGTGGACACGTTGGACAGACAACATGTATAGCATGGAATACACACAATGTATTTCTTTTCTCATTGTAGGTAATTGATGTTTTGATCAAAGTTCACGAGCAGTGCATGCTTTGGATTTAATTGATCCTGTGTACATTTAAAACACGTTTATCGATTATTTTCATACAATGGACATTTTTCAGCACCAGTTTGTAACACAGATTTGTATTTTAATCTAGGAGCAGACATTTTATTGTAGGATTTCATTGACATTTACGGAGCTAGCAAGCGATTTTTACGGCATTGCAATTTCTTCTCTCTACGAAAATTCTTGGGCGGTGGCTGCACAACGTTGTTATATGAAGATTTAATACATGTATACCCTGCTAACTGCAGATTTTGAGGTCAATTGGACATGTAGTTTTCGAGAAGATCACATAACATACATGTGGATTTTTTTTTTCAGAAGAGATTTAATAAAAATATTAAAGGACAAAAAGTGGAGTTGTCGTTCGTCTCCGTTGACAGGATAGCACACATGCAGCTTCATTCAAGAGTTGTAAGTGGAGGGTATAGCAAAAGGGGGTCCCAGGTAGACATTTTGTGATATAAACGGTACATAAGAATGGTTAAAAACGCTGATTTATAATATAAATCAATTGCTTTAAAAAAGCAATTGTAAACGGTGTTTCCCCCTTTGAAACATGATTGATTGATATGTGTGTGTGTGTGTGTGTTCCTTTCTTTCCTTCCTTCTTTCTTTCTTTCTGTAAGGTGTCCATATTATTGTGTTACCCATGCCAAGAAATCTAAGCTAAAAATTCCGGTAGACCTCCTACGGCACCCATTAGTAGTTAAAGATTTGATTTCATTCAACAAATTAATTTATGACCTTCATGTACGTGTCCCTTAGAACACAGCCATATACCAAATGGTCAATATTAATCATCCATGTAATTTGCTCTATGGGATATTTGCAGAATTTCAACGGAGGCAATTTCTTGGCATGATATATGGCAGTTTTTTTGTTTTCTCCTAATCTATGGCAGATTTTGATGTTACGTAATTTTCCGGGAAAAAGAGTAACTTATAACATCTATAATGTTTACGCCACCGCTAACAATAACGGTTTTGTTATATAAAGAAGGAAAAGAAAAGGCAATCTCCCGCACAGAGTTCATATCCGTTCCATACGTGTTTCGCAATACTTCACTTAATATGAGTGTAGTGTTACGTAGAAAAGAACGGAACGGATATGCTATCTCTACGACGGAGATTAAAGAAAAGGCCAGTTTTCAGGAACCCTAATCTATGAATTAAATTATATTTCAGAATTCGAGTATACGGTAACGGAAATCCCTGCATATGAGAAGATGTACTCGTCTAGGTCCGATGATACTAGCAAACAAACTTATAGTCATTCGTAGCAGAAAAATCGTTAGTGCAGGCAATTTCACGCAAATGAATATGTTTTTGGTGTTTTCAGTGTTTAAGTTTCGTGTTTGTTTCCGTTCCTTCTTTTATTATCCTCGTCGGTGTTCCTGGTATTGCCTTGTCTCTTGATTTTTACGAGTTTCTACTGCGAATTTGGTATGTTTTTTTGTTTTTTTTTTGTTATTTTATAAATTTTTTTATGCAAAGGCTGTTTCTTCATAATTTTTTCATCCTTATGGTACTCTTCAAATTTGTTTTAAACATAATCTACAGCATTTTTCAGCTTTATTACAGCGATTGTGCTATTGTAGCAAATAACCTTTCTTAACATTTGAAAAATAAAATAAATCTGTTATACAATTTTTAATAACTATTTACATTATGTTCAGCTTTATTTATGTCGAATAACTGTACTGTTATAGAAATTTTGATTTTTTAAGAAAGCCACTTGTTTGTAGCAAGTCATTGGTCATTACAGGACTTTCACTTAAATCGTCATCAGTTCATAAAGATTTTTTAACGCTCAAATAAATATTAGGTTAAAAGTCAAACTGTTTAAAACAAACTGCTTTTTCGGTTGGGATTTGGCTAAATCACAGGGTCAACCAGGCATGGTAGGAAATGCTTATTCTCCCGGAGCACATCAATTCATTCCTTAAGTCTCTATTAGTATATATCACTTCCTTATTTAGAAAATTTTATGGTTGTCATCACGATTTGTTCGACCGTTATGGAAGGTCCATTTCACAAATGGTTATGGATATGCTTCCGTTGTCGTACCTCAGCTCTAGTCCGTTTTTCTTATACTGGCTTTTTCGTAACCTTTGGATATTTCCACTTGTTTAAGGTAACTTTGATATCATTGGTCATTTATGTACTGACTGTTCCCGCTCCATTTGCAGAAAATCTGCCATAAATTTGAAAACTAGAAATCCGCTATATAATTATTTTAATAGGAAACGAAATATTTGCCATAGATTAGGATTTCTAAACAAACTGCAATAGATTTGGGATGGCATGACGTCATATTTACCATAGATTAGGAATCTGCCATAGATCTGGAACCCACCAAAGATTTGAGTCCTACATATATATAGAGCTTGTGTCGCTCACCTGCATCTTCTACAATAGCCTTTTTTTTGTAAAAATCAGCATGAAAGGGCAATAACTCTATTAAGAGTTAACTGACAATTTCAGCCATGTTGACATATTTGCGAGTTTATACATCCCGCACAGCCAAACGTACGCCCTCTCTTATAAATGGTTATATTATGTTACTGTTACTGTAGTAAGTCTCGAGAAGGTCGTCTAACGTACATGTACATCCTTTAATATCATCGTATCCATGATCCCATAAATTAATTTTGTTTTTTTATTACACCAAGTGACTTTAAAATTACATGATAACTTACCGGGACTGCATTGTTTCGTTTCACATGAAATTGTTCCATCAGATCTACATGTGCAAATATTACATCTATCTTCGGTCACCCATGTTTCTTCCTGTCTATATGTGGCTCCTTTATAATCGCAGTTGCTGCATACTGACAGAAAGATGTATTTATGTGTATTTTCTAGTATTTGCACATCTTTAATATATTTAGTATTCACGTTTGATTTATTTGTAAATTTTAATATATATAATGTCTCATTCCATCATGGCCGGGTCACTGCCCGAGTGGTTGCGAATTATATTAAAAATTCTTGCTTTCTACCATTTTCCTATTTTGTTACTTTATGTATATGTTTATGATAATAATGCTAAGGGTCAAATATTTGGAAAGTGAAAATCATATTTATATAGAAATTGCCTGAAATGTTCAGTATGTTAAAATTTCAAAACACAATTACAAAATGAAATACATGAAGAAACATGGAAATACAAAAATTTCTAAAAGTAAGAACATATTAAATTCAGTATGCTTTTGCGGTTCCATAAGCCCCTAAACTTGGCAATGTTAGGGTTCATACATGATATAATGTATATATATATGTGACATATGACGCGGTAATACTTACATATAGAGCAGAAAAGTGAACATAATATATAAATCATAAAAGTCATCGTGCCATAAAATGTGTCACAGCCGAGTACTTGGTCTATCTTTTGTTCTGTCTTATCAGTTAGAATAGAATTATAGAATTTTTCATTCGTAGTTTATCATGTGACCATTGACAAATTCGACATAATGAGAATTCCTGTATTCTATATTAATTACTATACATTTAATTGGTTTCATGGAGAAGAAAAGTTCAAATCACTTTCAACCGTACGGCAACAGACGTGTCTTTTGTTCTCTATTGACTTCCCTTTCACTTGTCCATTCGGCTTGCAGAAGTTTTTCTTGCTAAATAATGTGCTTACGTCATTTGCATTCAAATCGCTTTTAAAACTTACGAACTTTGTATTTCTTATATTTGCAGTAACTGATTTGATGTTCAAGCAATATTAGGTCGTCGTATGGTCTTCAATTTAGGAGAAATCTAAAATATTTTAGAATATCTTTTAAAACTTAATAGACACTGAAGGCCTGTGAATTATTTCCATTGAGAAAATCCCTTTGAAAGCTTAAAAAAGTAGATAATATTATCATTGACCGCTGTGGATAGTAAACTAGGAATTGATAATCAATTGCAAATTGCATGTTATTTATAGTATAATTATGTTATATAATACAGAAATACACGAAAATAATTGTGATGAAAGAAAACAAAAAAATAACGGATTTTGGAAATAAGAAAAGGGCTAAAAAAAAAACCGTCGCGAGTTATTTTATACAATGATGAATAAGGTATCGTATATATAGTTTTAGATATCGGACTTAAAACTTTCCAAAAATATCAGTCGTAAAGAAGGAAAGATATATGATTTTATATTTTTTTCGAAGATATCGTATGTACATATATATATTATCAGATGTTCCAGGGACTTTCTATACTAATATAGTATAGAAAGTCCCTGGATGTTCTAATATTTTGATGATTTCATTATTCTATTATTATTTTTATAACATAAGATTGTTATGTACAAGCTTGGGGTATCATGGCTACCATCGCATCAACTTGAAATTTCAGTTACTAGTACAAGGCAAAGATTTATAACTAACAAACTAATATACGTCCTTGTCTATTATTCATAAAAGGATACATCCGTATACTGAAAAATCCTGATGACGAACGTATAAATCTTGGTATTTACGGCCGCAAAAATTTTGTAAACTGAATAGTTTGGTAATAAAGAAAAGAATAAACGATGGTTAAAAATTGTATCAGAACTGTAACCGAGTCCGAATCAAGAATCATTGCAATTTCCAAGCAAGTACCAACGCTCATAAATTCGGCAATCAATGCGTTTAATGAAGAACTTCGGGAAAGTTCGGAGAGCTGACGACATTGCTTCGTTGATATATACGGAATTCCTAATTATGTCCTTCTTTGTAGTAAAATTATTATTTTCCCATTCAGTCATCAAAACGTTTAATTGGATACAAAAAAATTCAACACATTGAAATTCCAAATTAACATAGACAACAACAACAACACACGTGGGAAGAAAATAAAAAAAACTAGTTTTAAAAATGACAGACACTGGGGATAGAATACAGCCAAATTTTAAAAATTTAACACATACAGATTATGGCAAGCCTAATGATATGCAACATATGGTAAACCTGATAAAAATATTATATTTGTGTACCAGGTGGTTGAGGGGCTGGATCCTGCTATTGATCCAGACGAATACTTTAAACCAGCAAGACCAAGACGAACACAGCTAAAAAGTTCGATAACTTTCACACAACAAACATTGTAGAAAAACAAGTGCTTGAGGAACAAATTACTAGGTGCTTTGACATGATTCCCACCAGTAAAACACCTCACCATACCAACTCATTCTTTGTATCCATAATTATCAACTGGAACTGGAACAAGCTTATAGAGACCTTAAAATCTGCTCTCACGAACCATCAATAAACAGCACCTTCACCCCTTTGTATAAAAGCCAGCATTGGTAGCTACGATGTATACATACAAATACAGATTGGTTTCATACCTCATCATGGTCATGTATGTCAATTTAATGGTCATCAATATGCGCTGATTTATCTTAACATTAAATTAATATGAGGCAGGTGTTACTTGATAAAGAGGAAGAAGTCGGTATAAATAACTAATGTCATACTGATAGTACCCAAATTCCACTGAGTACCCAATTTGCACCTATTTTGAAAAAAAGGAGAAGAATTGTTACAGGTTTTCCTAGACATGCTAGAGTCTAAACAGTTTTTTTTTTTATTATGCCATTATGCACATCTTTCAACTTAGTCATGATAGTTAAATATATTTAGTAATATAAATGCTAAGACATCTACATTTTTTTTAGCAACTGTAGACAATGCAATCCTGGTGAACAATTCAGGTCCCTAGGAGCTTATAGTTCTTTAAAGCCATAGTTTATGTACAATGGCCTTTTCATTAAACATTGTTAACACAGTACTATTTACACAGCCTGTTGGACATAACTTGCTCAAAACACCACTACATTTATGCTTGAAAAAAAGTAATTATTTTTGTTTTTCAGCCTTTGCAAGAGCTAACAAAACCCCATGTTGATTCTTTCAATTACATGTTAGAGGAGGGATTGGGAAAGGCTGTGCAGGTAATTACACTTAATTTTACTTTGGATTATTGATGAAATAAAGTAGAAATTGGAAAAAGTATTGAAGAGGTCAAGATGAAAAAGAATAAGAAATAAATATTTGTAGTCAATTGGTGTAGAATTGTCTAAAATTTTTGATATGGGGTTCCGATGGTGCATCTCTAATGATAAGAAAGCATGTTTGTGTGTCTTAGCTTCCAAAAGACTGATTTTTTCTTACAGCTGTTCATTGTGTTGTTTGTTGTTAATTAGCATTGACACAGGGAGTGAACTTCAAGACATGAAAGTTTTAGAAATAGGTTAATAAACTGTGTATAGATATTGACAAATATAATGCCTACCCATGTTAGAATGAGTATAGAGCATGAAAGAACAAAAGGGCATGTTTACACAATACATAATTTGAATTAATATATTTTTATGTTTCAGTTGATTTATCCTGTGGAGTTTGCTTTACCAAATGGAGACAGAATATCATTTACAGTATTGGTATGCACATAATCACATTTATTTTCTTTTCTTTTTCAGCTTTAACAACAATTAAGATTGGTCTTTACCATTTACATTTTGTATAACTTTTACTCTATATTAGTTTTGATGATAGAAATCTCCTTTTCATTAATTACGATGTACCTTTCTCACTCATTTTAACCAATACAGAAAGTAAATTTTTCATGGCTAACTTTGCTGTATTTTAAAACGATTACAACATACTTTTTCAATTAAACTGTTTCTAAGTGGTTGGGGTGTTCAAATGTTCCATGCAAACTGCCTTCAAAGACTTCATGATTTTGTCCCTTACAGATTTTTAAGTGAGAAACAAAAAGAGTAAATATAAAAATAACATCTAAAAAAAGAAAAGTAATATGGAATCATAAACAGCACACAAGAGACATGTTAATGTTCAGTTTATTGACATACTAGAATAACTGTTCTGGAGTTAATAGATATAAGAAGATGTGGTATGAGTGCCATTGAGACAACTCTCCATCCAAGTAAAAATTTATAAAAGTAAACCATTATAGGTCAAAGTACGGTCTTCAACACAGAGCCTTGGCTCACACCGAACAGCAAGCTATAAAGGGCCCCAAAAATTACTAGTGTAAAACCATTCAAATGGGAAAACCAACGGTTCAATCTATATAAAAAAAGAGAAACGAGAAACTCTTATGAACCACATCAACAAAGGACAACTACTGAACATCAGATTCCTGCCTTAGGACAGGTGCAAACAATTGCAGCGGGTTTAAAGGTTTTAATGGTACCAAACCTTCACCCTTTTTCTGAAACAATAGTGTAACATCACAACATAGAAAGACACACTATAAAATATCACCTGAAATGGCTTAACTCAATCAAAGGACATATTAACACCAGTGAATATACACTGAATAAATAAATTTGACCTATGATACAATGTAAATACAAAATAAATAAACTAAGGGAAGATTTAAACCAATTACTCTGTTGAAGTACATAGAAATACTGCAGTTTGATTTTTGTTTTTTTTTGAAGGAGTATACATTTTGTGTTTTATAGCTCCAATTAAGTAAGTAAGATTTAGTTTCACAATTTTTGTCTCTTATTCTGATTTTCTTTAAAGATCAAATTAATGCAAGGAAGTGTTTTCCTAATTTCATCTAAATAAAAAAATTAGGGAAAGTTAAACCTTACCATGAATTTCCATTTTAAACTACACAACTGCTTTCTTGTGGGTATATCACATGCCCATGGTGGAGCTGTACTGATATAACTTTTAAAATAATTGAATTGTTTATGTGTTGTAGGATGCTAATATATACAAACCAGTGGTTTCTCAAAGTAACAAGACTTCAGTCAACCTGAAAGTTTATCCTGCAGAAGTAAGGAGTAGTTTTATTGACTTAATATCAAGTTAAAGTTAAAATATTTAAATACAAATAAAAAAAAAAGATAAAGTTGTCTTTGGTATAAAACACTATAACAGATAAAAGTATCATGCAGGAAACACAAATTTATAGTAAAACAAGATGGCAACAACAAACGGAATGGTAAGTTGAAAAAGGATACCAGGTCTAATTTGTTACTCAAAGAGGATAAAAACAATATCAAGATATTGTAACAACAAATTAGAACCAACATCAACGGCTCACTTAGATGTTGTTCTCTTATTCTGTGACACAGGAACATATATATTGACGGGACTTGACACTACCTAATTGTAGCCGATTTTTTTGTCGGGTGATAGTTAATAAAGATACGATACGGAAACGGACATGTGTTAAAAACGCACTCACTATTATCCTAATAATTTCTGATAATATCAATAAAATGTCATTCAAACAGTTTTAAAGTGATGCCAGTGTATCAAACTTGTTATCTGTCACTTCAAATTTGTTATAATCGAATTCATTTCATCACAGAATGGTACAGAATGCAAAAAGGGTAATAAAAAAATGGCGCCGATTGCATTCCCAATTTCTCACACCATTTTAAAACACTTCACATCAAATAAATCACACTTATTTTGGTCATTTAGTATGACAAAATATATCTACTTTATGATAAAACATGTATCTATTTACGATTAGAATTATGTGGTTAATTGATTGCGCAGTGCCGATAGTTTTTTCAGTCAGACGCTACCAAAATCCATAAATCTCGCAAAGTCTCGTGGAGTCCGAGATTTTATCAATTTTATACTGAAAAGCCTATCAGATTCATTTCCCGTTAGATATACTGTTCCCAGTGTGACAGTAATGGTCTTTCAATTTTTCAACATTATATATTGATACCACTGCAATTAAAGAAAAAAAAACCAATTTTGCCTTTCCAGTGTCGACAGAGGTTTGTGACGTACAAAGGGAATTTCCAGATAACATTTGTATGGAAAATAAACAACAAACCACAGGATACAGTCGAAAGAACTATTGGAGAAATTCCAATTATGGTTAAGGTTTGTATCATTTATTGTCAACTTTGACAAAAGTAGCTAAATGCAAGACATCGGATAACTATCCGGCAGCAACGAAGGCATAAACTATTTCTATTAAGCTTTATATTTCAAAGGGTAGTAGACCTGGAGGCTTCATACCTTGTATACAGATGCCTTCTGTTACAAAGTTTCAGTCTGTCGTATGTCGGTTGTCCCTGACCTCATTTTCATGGTTTAGCAACTGCTTGAAGAAAAAAAATTAGTTTTTTTTGTTATGTGAATTTCTCACTTATTATGAGTAATAGGATAACTATATTTGGTATACAGGGTTTACCTGACCTCAACTGCATTTCATGGATCAGTGATCAAGGTTAAAGTTACATGATTAGGGCCGTTTCTCAGATGCTGTAAACAGTAGGTGAACTATATTTGGTGTACAGAATGGTTGTAAGGTGTACATATCAGTCTGGCATGTTTCATTTGACCTTGACCTCATATTCGCTGTTCCTTGCAATTGGTCAATGTTAATGTTTTGTGTTTGGTTTGTTTTTCTTTTACTATAATAGATCAACTATATTTGGTGTATGGAATGATTGTAAGGTTTACATATCTGTCTGGCAGGTATCATCTGTCCATGACCTCATTTTCATGATTTATTAGTCAATGTTGAGTTTCAGTAGTAAGTAAGGTCCTTTTCTAAGATACTATAAGCAATAGGTCAACTATATTTGGTGTATGGAATGATTGTAAGGTGTACATGTCTGTCTGGCAGGGTTCATCTGACCTTGAACTCATTTTGATGGATCATTAGTCCATGTTAAGTTTTCCTGGTTTGGCCTTTTCCTGTTTACTACAAGCAATAGGTCAACTATTTTTGGTGTATGTAATGACTGTAAGGTATACTTGTCTGTCTGGCTTGGTTTATCTAACCTTGACTCATGGATCATTGATAAGGTAATGTTTCCCCTAACCCTGCCAAGTCTGTTTTTACCCTCTGGGTCAATTCTTTTAAATTTGTGTAATTATGTCTGTTTCTAGGATACTATAAGCAATAGAATAACTATATTTACTGCATGGTATGATTGTAAGGTGTACTTGTCTGTCTAGCAGAGTTCATCTGACCTTAACCTCATTAACATAGATCATTGATGATGTAAAGTTTATGAGTTACTTGTAGTAAAACTTTCATATTGTAAACTTTCAAAATAAATCAATCATGATAGGTAAAGCAATTGATACATTTAAGCCTGTGCACTTTTGTGTTTTATTTTAAATTATTTGAAACATATTTTGTACTTGTTCACATGTCGTAAAGTGATAATGATAAAAATTTAAATGAAATTTTGTCAATTTAGAAATAACAAATGCTTCTGAAGTATTATTAGTTTCTTCATCACAGTATATTTTAAAACACAATAGATAGTGTTTTCCTTGTATTTACTTAATTGCTTTTAATTTGACATAAGAATGTTCAACCTGCAACTTTTATCATAATCTGTCTGATGTAGTTTGAAAGTTTTTTATCAGTATCGATGAGTTTTGGACTTGAAGCATTTATGTTTCATTGCAGATATATAATTTGATTGTTGTTATTTTTAGTCAAAAAGATGTAACTTACAAGGATTATCACCATCAGAGCTAGTAAAACATGGAGAGGAGGCAGAGGTACTATGAATTAAGTTTTTAATATGTAGCTAGGCTTTTTTATGCCCAAGCCATAGCGGAGGGGGCATTTAGTACTACCCATGTCTGTCCCGTCTGTCTGTCTGTCCTGAACGTCCCCAAAAAATGGTTCTCTAACTTTAGTTTTCCTCAACAAAATATTATAAAACTTATACACAATGCATATATCCACAAAACACAGATCAGGTTCGAAATTGGGTGGCGTAACTTTTACTGTTCATGAGTTATGCCCCTTTATAAACATAAAAATTGCTAGATCTGTCGTTTCCGTTCTCTAACTTTAGTTTTCCTCCACTAAATGTTATGAAACTTATACACAATGCTTATTACCACAAAACACAGATCAGTTTTACCGTTCATGAGTTATGCCCCTTTATAAATGGAAAAATTGCTTAATATGTAGTTTCCGTTCTCTAACTTTAGATTGCCTCAACCAAATGCTATGAAAGTTATGCTTATATTCACAAAACGGTCTTAACTACGTGAATCCTGCATCTGTATGTGGAAGTTGACTCATGCGTTTTTACAAGTGGGGGCATCTGTGGCCCAAAGACACATTCTCCATTTATTTTTAGTTTAAAAGTTGGCTGTTTCATGCTTATGGAGTGTAAATATCAAATTATGTCAAGTCAAAGTTTAAATGAAGTTGATTAAGATAGTAAAATTTCTAAGGGATAAAGAATAAAAGTATTAAGCAGCATGTGTCTTTGTGGGCATCACAAAATTTTGGGTCATATTTAGAAGTAAAGATGTAATCCTTGTTTATTAGTTTAAACTAAAATATAACAATGACATTTGGCCTATGAAAATTAAAGTAGAAATTATAAGTTTGTTTTCTAAATGAAATACTAATCATGATACATTTTTCATTATAATTTTTCCACACCCTTCTTGCATTATTTTATGAATCATATACCGGTATTAAAACATTGTATTTTTAGCTCACCTGGCCCGAAAGGCCAAGTGAGCTTTTCTCATCACTTGGCGTCCGTTGTCCGTCGTTGTTAGCTTTTTACAAAAATCTTCTCCTCTGAAACCACTGGGCCAAATTTAACCAAACTTAGCTACAATCATCATTAGGGTATCTAGTTTAAAAAATGTGTCCGATGACCCCGCCAACCAACCAAGAGGGCCGCCATGGCTAAAAATAGAACATAGGGGTAAAATGTAGATTTTGGCTTATATCTCTGAAACCAAAGCATTTAGAGTAAAACTGACAATGGGTAAAACTGATTATCAGGTCAAGATCTATCAAATCTGACAACCTGTTGTTGGGTTGCTGCCCCTGAATTGGTAATTTTAAGGAAATTTTGCAGTTTTTGGTTATTATCTTGAATATTATTATAGATAGAGATAAACTGTAAACAGCAATAATGTTCAGCAAGGTAAGATCTACAAATAAGTTGTCATGACCAAAATTGTCAGTCAACCCCTTTAGGAGTTATTGCCCTTAATAGTCAATTTTTAACAATTTTTCGTAAATTTTTGTGATCTTTTATAAAAATCTTCTTCTCTGAAACTACCGAGACAAATTCAACCATACTTGGCCATAATCATTATTAGGGTATCTAGTTTAAAAAATTTGTTCGATGACCCCGCCTTCCAACCATCATGAACATAGGGGTAAAATGCAGTTTTTGGTTTATATCTCTGAAACTAAAGCTTTTAGAGCAAATCTGACAAGTGGCAAAAATGTTCATCAGATTTAGATTTATCTGCCCTGAAATTTTCAGACAAATCCGACAACCCATTGTTGGGTTGCTGCCCCTGAGTTAGTAATTTTACAAAAATTTTGCAGTTTTTTGTTATTATCTTAGATATCATTATAATATCTAATATCTAATACTATTAATTATGATTTTAACCTTATTTTACATGATTTCAAAAGCATCAGTAAATACAGGTGAGTGACACAGGCTCTTGAGAGCCTCTAGTTTATTTCATGTTAATTTTTTTTATTTAAATGTTACAGGAGATGGGAGGTTATTTCATAGTTAATGGATTGGAGAAGATTATAAGAATGCTGATTATGCCTAGAAGAAATTATGTAAGGCATTCTGTAGTTGTATTCCTTGTAAACATCCTAGCAATTATAAAGTGAAGTACTTCCTTGGTGCCTCATGATATATGAATAAAAAGCTGGTATATAAAATCATAACTTCAAAAGGATATGAAAATTGATAGTATTGCACAAGTTTAATTTTTGTCTGGCCTGCGACAAAAGTCACGGAAAGCGAGACATAGGGATTGCTTTTCTGGCGATGGCTACAGCTGCGATGATGGCATCAACAATTGTTAAGTTTTCTGCTAAAGTTAGTTTGATAGGAACTACTTGTGATAGATCATTGATATTTTGTATGAAGATGCATTACTATCAGTACATATCAGTTTGAAGACAATTTTGAGGCCCTGCCCCCTAGGCCATGGTCCAGTGACTTTGATTTAATTAGCCATTTTCAATGTTAAGTTTTCTGCTTAAGTTAGTTTGATAGGAAGTACTTGTGATAGATCAATGATATTTTGTAGGAAGTTGCATTACTATCAGTACATGTACATATCAGTTTGACGACTATTTTGAGGCCCTGCCCCCAAGGCCATGGTCCAGTGACTTTGAATTAATTAGCCATTTTAAATGTTAAGTTTTCTGCTTAAGTTAAATTGATAGGAACTACCAGTGATAGATCAATGATATTTTGTGTGAAGTTGCATTGCTATCAGTATATATCAGTTTGACGACTATTTCGAGGCCCTGCCCCCTAGGCCATCGTTCAGTGACTTTCAATTAATAACAATTTTCAATGATAAGTTTTCTGTCTAAGTTAGTTTGATATGAAATACTTGCGATAGATCAATGATATTTTCTATAAAGTTGCATTACTATCAGTACATATCAGTTTGTCAACCATTTTGAGGCCCTACCCACTAGTTGGTCCAGCAACTTTGAATTAATTAGCAATGTTGCTGTCCATCAGATTGTCTTTTTCTGAATTTTATGTCTACAGGCCAGACATATCTCTGTGTCAACAGTTTATTTTTATGAAAAGAAGGAAAAATTGCCTTATGATGACATCTTGTGCCTTTTTTTTTCAGAAGAAATTGTTGTCATTTTTTTATTTATTTACTTATTGTCATTGACACAAAATATTTTATGATGTGTTAAAATAGGGGTGGAGCTGTGTTTTCAAGTTTTCTCATTGTTTAAACTTATTTAATAACACAAATTAATTTAACATGAATTTCATGTAAAATCTTTGAAATGTAAGTGTTTAAGGAGGTACAGAACATCTAAGGGAGTTAAATCTTTAAAAATCAGCTGAACGTTTCAAGCACATACTATTAGTAAAGAAAAATCAAGCTTCTTAATTATCAAAATTAGTGTATGTAAAACTGATAGATATCCAATGAAATTTACCTGTTATTGTGTGGTTCAAATTTCTTGAAATATTTATATTTTTGTCAATAGGACCAAGTAAATTTTATGAAAATGAAACGAGTCAAATCTATTTTAGTCAAAGTGTAAGGTACCCCCTTATTAGTGTTGAAATTTTTTTAAACCAGTTACACATCATATTCAAGTGATTTACATGATGCAGAATAAGAAACTGATGATAATTAAGTCTCCCAAACGAAGTTTGGGAAGACTTATTGGTTTTGCTCAGTTCTTCTTCTTCTTCTTCTTCTTCTTCTTCTTCTTCTTCCTCTTCCGCCGCTTTTAAATTTGAACTTGTCCGCACCCGTTCTCCAAAACTGCTTGTCAGATTAACTTAGGGTTTCACAATATGTTAAACTAACATGTCTAGTGGTGCAATCAGGGTTTTGTATGTGCAATAGGGTTTATAAAGGGGTACTTTGAGGGGCAAAAAGAAAGGAGGGTTTTACTATAGAACCCATGGGATTTTATTTTTTAAAATTTTCAAATGATTATAAATTGAAAATCGTTTGTGATAGACACAAATTTTGTAATTGAAAATGTTCTAAATGATAAAGCATATTAAATGAAATACAGGGTTAGTCCCCAGGGGTCACCCCCACCCCCTGCCATTTAAGAAAGTTCTAATACCTTGTAAGTGGTCAAGATCCCTACCTCTAAACCATATATATTCTGGTTTGTCATGCTAAGATGGTTTGAATAATATACAGGGTTAGTCCCCAGGGGTCATCCCGACCCCCTGCCATTTGAGAAAGTTCTAATATCTTGTAAATGGTCAAGATCTCCACCCCTAAACCATTTATATTCTGGTTTGTCATGATAAAGCACATCAAATGAAATACAGGGTTAGTCCCCAGGGGTCACCCCCACCCCCTGCCATTTAAGAAAGTTCTAATATCTTGTAAGTGGTCAAGATCCCCACCCCTAAACCATATATATTCTGGTTTGTCATGCGAAGATGGTTTGAATGATATACAGGGTTAGTCCCCAGGGGTCTTCCCGACCCCCTGCCATTTGAGAAAGTTCTAATATCTTGTAAATGGTCAAAATCCCCACCCCTAAACCATATATATTCCTGTGCGTCATGTCTCAAACATTTGAATGACGTATAGGGTCAGTCCCCAGGGGTTCCCCCACCCCCAATGTTCTAATATCTTGTAAATGGTTGAGATCCCCACCCCTAAACCATATATATTCCTGTTCGTCATGTCTTGAACATTTGAATGATGTATAGGGTCAGTCCCCAGGGGTTCCCCCCACCCCCAATGTTCTAATATCTTGTAAATGGTTTGTCATGCCAAGATGATTTGAATGATATACAGGGTTAGTCCCCAGGCATCATTTATGCATATAACTTTACTGGACCAAACCAATTTTCACTGGACTTTGCCCAATGTCAGGCGACTCTTGGAATTACGAATTATAGGAGCCTCGTTTGGGAGACTTCGTAACAGCATCCTGTTACAATCATTTCTTGTTAAATTTTCAAATAAATCATACCACCAATTTTTGGAGTTTTTGCCCCTTAAAATTTAATTTGTAGTTAATATCAAAGTTTTTTGCTTATATCTAAAAAATTAAAGCAATTAGAGCAAATCTTTCAAGGTAGAATTGATAAGCAGGTTGGGTTCTATTATTGGCGGAATTTTCAGATAAATCTGAAAACCTGCTTTGGAGTTCACAGAGTTTGGTTATTATCTTGAAAACTGTAACAGATAGAGAAACATTTTAATCAGTAAAAATTACCAAAGCAATAAGATCTACAAATAAGTTTACATGGCTGAAAAATTGTAAATTGACTGTTGGAATAATTACTCTTGAAAGATGGTTTTTATCCATTTTTTTTTTTAAATTGCGGAAATCATTATAGATAAGGAGAAAATTGTAAATAGCAAAAAGAAAATAACAAAAATAATTCAAGGCAAAATTTAAAGCTCAAACACATCAAACAAATGGAAAACAAGTGTCATATTCCTGACTTGGTACAGGCATTTCCTCGAGTAGAAAATGGTGGATTAAACCTGGTTTTATAGCTAGCGAAACCTCTAATTTGTATGACTGTCGCATAGAATTCCATTATATTGACAACAATGTGTGAGCAAAACAAACAGACATAATAGGTAAAGATGTCAAAAATTGGGGTACAGCAGTCAACATTGTAATACAATCTTAATCACTATAAAACAAATAACTATTTCAACAAAGAAAAAAACAAAATGGCATATAGACATCTATAGACAAAGTGCATAACAAATATGAATAGATGTTAAGTACAATAAGATATACACAAAAGTCAACAGGGTTAAAATCGTCAATTGACCCCTGAAAGTAATTATTGTTCTTCATAGATGATTTTCCCATTTTTCAAGTTTTTGCACGAAATTTAATAGATAACAGAAACAGTATTAAAAAAAAGCAAAAACTTTTCAGCACAATAAGATCTATAAATCAGTCATCATGTACAAAATTGTCAACCAACTCCTTTTAGAAGTTATTTCCCAGGAATGAGGATTTGTATCCATTTTTGCATTTTTGTCAGAGTTCGAGAGAAATTTAAAATAGCTTAAAAAAAGAATAAGAAAAATAAGATATACAAGTAAGTCAACATTGCCAAATTTTCACACTTGTTATACCCGTAGGATTTATTGCCTGTAAATTTATTTTAGATACTTTAATAGATAGGTATAAACTGTAAACAGCAAAAAATGATCATCAATACAAGACCTACAAAACTGCCACTAAATAAGATCTCTGAATAAGCAAACATTACTGATTGCAATAAAGGAAAAAAATCAGGCTCTTGGGAGCCTTTTGTTTCATCTAATTTAAAAATTTGCAATTGATGGCTTAAATGTAGAGCAAATTTATATACCATGCATTATCAAGAATAGAAATCAAATTGGTACTAAACTTAGAAATACCAGGTAATCAATACATTTTTATACGTCTTTTATGGGACATATTATGGTATACCCAGGGGTCTCACTAGGAAATTTTCATGGTGAGACCTGGGACTCCTCACCTTTAATAATGGTGAGTCCCAATAGAGTTTGATGAGTCCAGGATGCATGTGATTTTTTGTGTCCTAGTATGATGAAATATGACGAAATAAAATCAAAACGATGCATGTTGGATTGGTAGTTATATTAGTAGTTCTATTATATCAATAAAAGTTATGATCTCTTTATAATTATTGTTAATTACAACATATATAACAGACCTATTTCTATGTTTATCAATTCTTTGTGTAGATGGTCATTGACTCTTGGTCTTTTACTTGGATTCGCTGTCATCCGGTTTCCTTTAGAAAAAGGACTTTAACTTGACTCATCGTGATACTGGTGTCACTTTGTTAGACAAGCCAGTACACAGTTGATATTAATTATTATTAATTAATTTTAATCATATTTAATCATTGATGATTGAGTTAATAATCACTTTGATGTTTACATCATGATAATTATTATAGTCTTATATAAAAAGAAGCAAAACTAATGTGAACACTGTTCATAATAATGGGCTTGACTAATTAGTAATTATTCTTTAATCATTTTTTAAGTGGATTTGTTTCAATTTCAAAACATTTTGCACATTTGTTTACGATCGCGATGTTCAACATACCAATACGGGGAAAATGTTAAATCATTTGAAGACCAGTTAAATTATTTTTATCCGTAAAATATTAAATCTAAACTGTTCCTATGATCTATTTTATGCATAGTAGCAACAGTTATTGAAAATTATATCATTTCATTTTAAATTCTCAAAATAATTTACTTTCTTTTTTTTCAATCGATATGTTCATTGTACGTGATGTTCAACACGTGGAAATATTCAAGCTTTTCAAATACTTGTTAAATTTTTTTAAAAATCGGTAACTATTACTTATTTATAATCAGTTTGAACAGAATTATTATATTTAAGGATGAACTACGTTTAATTCCAAAAAATACTTATCAGTCAACAAAAATAATGATCTACGCATCATATATAATTCAAAACAATGTCGACGATCGCGAGTCTTCTAGGCAAAACGATGTGTTTGGGACTCAGGGGATACAACGAGGACGCGTCCCAGGGACTCACGGGTTTCATAAATGATGCGTCCAGGACGCATATACGCGTCTTAACGAGAACCCTGTATACCGTTGTCCGTCCGTCCGTTATCAACATGTCGGACATTAACTCAAAAACGCTTTAACCAATATGCATGAAACTTTGGTGAATTGTTTATATCTGTTGACGTAAGCTCCCTTTCGTTTTTTATAAATTTCGGATTTACCGTTTCCAAGTTTTGGGGTTTTATTCATTAAAAAAAGGGAGGATTTTCCAGTTTGTGGACAATAACTCAAAAACAATTTCACCAATTTGCAAGAAACTTTGGTGAATTATTTATTTCTATCGACATGAGCTCCCATTTGATTTTTATAAATTTTAGACCATACGTTTCCGATTAATGGGGTTTTATTCATTACAAAAAAGGGGATTTTCCAGTTTTCGGACAATAACTCAAAAATGCTTTCAGCATTTTTTATGAATTTTGGTGAATTGTTTATATCTATTCAGTATCGATGTAAGCTCCCTTTAGAATTTTATAAATTTTAGATTTTACATTTCCGAGTTACGGGGTTTTATTCATTAAAATAGGGGGGATTTTTCAGTTTTTGGACAATAACTCAAAAACAATTTCACCAATTTGCAAGAAACTTTGGTGAATTGTTTATTTCTACCGACATGAGCTCCCTTTTGATTTTTTTAAATTTTAGACTATACGTTTCCGATTTATGGGGTTTTATTCATTACAAAAAGGGGGATTTTCCAGTTTTCGGACAATAACTCAAAAATGCTTTCAGCATTTTTTATGAAACTTTGGTAAATTGTTTATATCTATTGCTGTAAGCTCCCTTTTGATTTTTATAAATTTAAGATTTTACGTTTCCGAGTTATAAGATTTTATTCATAAAAAAAGGGTTGATTTTCAAGTTTTTGGACAATATCCTTAAAGTGCTTAGAGCAGTTTTCATTAAACTTTGATGACTGATTTATATCTATTAAGATAACCTCCCTTTAGTTTTTTTATAAATTTCTGATATAACATTGAGAAGTTATTGTTTGTTTATAGTCTGACAACAGATTTACTAAGTATTGCGCAACAGCACAGTGTATTGCACAACAGCAAGAAATCTTTAATTGAATATAAATTCAATTCATATAACCAATTTCAAGTTCTTTGACTACATTTATTCAGAAACCTATAATATGTCAAATATTTAATTACAATCCAAATTCAGACCTGTATCAAGCTTGAATATTGTGTCTATTTTTGCCCCAACTGTTCAGGGTTGGACCTCTGCAGGCGTATCCAGCTGCGCTCAGCATAGCAGGTTTTAAGCTTCTAGCTTTGGTAGTAAAAAAATTCTAATGAAATAAAGGTCATTCATCTGACAATTTTTATTGTAGGCTATGTGTATGATAAGACCATCATGGAGATCTAGAGGTAAACAGTACACAGAGTATGGAGTCCAGATAAAATGTGTCAGACAAGATCAGACAGGCATGGTAAGTCAGTGGTTGTTTATACAAGTGGATAAATACATACCTAACAACTAACTGGAATTTCTTTGTTGACAGAAGTTTATATTCTTTATCAATCAATAACTAAAACATACTGGAATTACTTTGTTGACAGTACTTATGCTATATCATTAGATGATTTATACATACCTGTCAACATACTGGAATTACTTTTTTGGCAGTACTTATGCTATATCATTAGATGATTTATACATACCTGTCAACATACTGATATTACTTTGTTGACAGTACTTGTGCTATATCATTAGATGATTTATACATACCTGTCAACATACTGGAATAACTTTGTTGACAGTACTTATGCTATAACATTAGATGATTTATACATACCTGTCAACATACTGGAATTCCTTTGTTGACAGAACTTATGCTATATCATTAGATGATTTATACATACCCGTCAACATACTGGAATAACTTTGTTGACAGAACTTATGCTATATCATTAGATGATTTATACATACCTGTCAACATACTGGAATTCCTTTGTTGACAGAACTTATGCTATATCATTAGATGATTTATACATACCTGTCAACATACTGATATTATTTTGTTGACAGAACTTATGCTATATCATTAGATGATTTATACATACCTGTCAACATACTGGAATTCCTTTGTTGACAGAACTTATGCTATATCATTAGATGATTTATACATACCTGTCAACATACTGGAATTACTTTGTTGACAGTACTTATGCTATATCATTAGATGATTTATACATACCTGTCAACATACTGATATTACTTTGTTGACAGAACTTATGCTATATCATTAGATGATTTATACATACCTGTCAACATACAGATATTACTTTGTTGACAGAACTTATGCTATATCATTAGATGATTTATACATACCTGTCAACATACTGGAATTCCTTTGTTGACAGAACTTATGCTATATCATTAGATGATTTATACATACCTGTCAACATACTGATATTACTTTGTTGACAGAACTTATGCTATATCATTAGATGATTTATACATACCTGTCAACATACTGGAATTACTTTGTTACATACTTATGCTATATCATTAGATGATTTATACATACCTGTCAACATACTGGAATTACTTTGTTGACAGAACTTATGCTATATCATTAGATGATTTATACATACCTGTCAACATACTGATATTACTTTGTTGACAGAACTTATGCTATATCATTAGATGATTTATACATACCTGTCAACATACTGGAATTACTTTGTTGACAGAACTTATGCTATATCATTAGATGATTTATACATACCTGTCAACATACTGGAATTACTTTGTTGACAGTACTTATGCTATATCATTAGATGATTTATACATACCTGTCAACATACTGGAATTACTTTTTTGGCAGTACTTATGCTATATCATTAGATGATTTATACATACCTGTCAACATACTGATATTACTTTGTTGACAGTACTTGTGCTATATCATTAGATGATTTATACATACCTGTCAACATACTGGAATAACTTTGTTGACAGTACTTATGCTATAACATTAGATGATTTATACATACCTGTCAACATACTGGAATTCCTTTGTTGACAGAACTTATGCTATATCATTAGATGATTTATACATACCCGTCAACATACTGGAATAACTTTGTTGACAGAACTTATGCTATATCATTAGATGATTTATACATACCTGTCAACATACTGGAATTCCTTTGTTGACAGAACTTATGCTATATCATTAGATGATTTATACATACCTGTCAACATACTGATATTATTTTGTTGACAGAACTTATGCTATATCATTAGATGATTTATACATACCTGTCAACATACTGGAATTCCTTTGTTGACAGAACTTATGCTATATCATTAGATGATTTATACATACCTGTCAACATACTGGAATTACTTTGTTGACAGTACTTATGCTATATCATTAGATGATTTATACATACCTGTCAACATACTGATATTACTTTGTTGACAGAACTTATGCTATATCATTAGATGATTTATACATACCTGTCAACATACAGATATTACTTTGTTGACAGAACTTATGCTATATCATTAGATGATTTATACATACCTGTCAACATACTGGAATTCCTTTGTTGACAGAACTTATGCTATATCATTAGATGATTTATACATACCTGTCAACATACTGATATTACTTTGTTGACAGAACTTATGCTATATCATTAGATGATTTATACATACCTGTCAACATACTGGAATTACTTTGTTACATACTTATGCTATATCATTAGATGATTTATACATACCTGTCAACATACTGGAATTACTTTGTTGACAGAACTTATGCTATATCATTAGATGATTTATACATACCTGTCAACATACTGATATTACTTTGTTGACAGAACTTATGCTATATCATTAGATGATTTATACATACCTGTCAACATACTGGAATTACTTTGTTGACAGAACTTATGCTATATCATTAGATGATTTATACATACCTGTCAACATACTGATATTATTTTGTTGACAGAACTTATGCTATATCATTAGATGATTTATACATACCTGTCAACATACTGGAATTCCTTTGTTGACAGAACTTATGCTATATCATTAGATGATTTATACATACCTGTCAACATACTGGAATTACTTTGTTGACAGTACTTATGCTATATCATTAGATGATTTATACATACCTGTCAACATACTGATATTACTTTGTTGACAGAACTTATGCTATATCATTAGATGATTTATACATACCTGTCAACATACAGATATTACTTTGTTTACAGAACTTATGCTATATCATTAGATGATTTATACATACCTGTCAACATACTGGAATTCCTTTGTTGACAGAACTTATGCTATATCATTAGATGATTTATACATACCTGTCAACATACTGATATTACTTTGTTGACAGAACTTATGCTATATCATTAGATGATTTATACATACCTGTCAACATACTGGAATTACTTTGTTACATACTTATGCTATATCATTAGATGATTTATACATACCTGTCAACATACTGGAATTACTTTGTTGACAGAACTTATGCTATATCATTAGATGATTTATACATACCTGTCAACATACTGATATTACTTTGTTGACAGAACTTATGCTATATCATTAGATGATTTATACATACCTGTCAACATACTGGAATTACTTTGTTGACAGAACTTATGCTATATCATTAGATGATTTATACATACCTGTCAACATACTGGAATTACTTTGTTGACAGAACTTATGCTATATCATAAGATGATTTATACATACCTGTCAATGTACAAGAATTACTTTGTTGACAGAACTTATGCTATATCATAAGATGATTTATACATACCTGTCAACATACTGGAATTACTTTGTTGACAGTACTTATGCTATATCATTAGATTATTTATACATACCTGCCAACTAACTGGATTTTTTTTTCATTGACAACATGCCCAATATAAAGTCAATGATTAACCTGTGAATTTGTAAAAAAATGCATTCAGTATAAATAGTAATATTGTAAACATTTAAAACCACCTAGTGGTCTCTTTGGTAGCATGCTCACTTGGGGTGCAGGAGGTCATAGTTTCTACCCTTGCTGGGTCAAACCCAAGACTTTAATATTAGTATTTGTTGCTTCTTCACCACGAAGTAGGTATTTAGGAGTAAGAGCAAAGACTGTATGGCTTGGAGTCAGAATACTATGTCTGGATACGATGATAAGCCTTCTTACCCACGGCTTAGAAAATTTCTTAGACTTTGGTTGGTTATTGACACATCGCCTCTGGCACTGCTAATCCAATACAGGGCATGCTAGTCATTTCTCAGAGGAATTTCACATTCATTTTTCCATTGCCAGCATCCGTATGGAAAATGGTCAAGCCTTCTGTTTCACACTGGGAGGGTGAAGTTCTTGAACAAAGGTTACATCATCATAAAAATATAAAAGATAACAAACAAATGTATTTCACTTAAAGTTTTATCCTTTGAGCCTTTCATTGGCATTCATTTAATTGTAGGCTGAATAAAACTTTGCTTGGCTTTGTCATTCATTAGTGGAACTTCCGACCAATTTATTCAAATGACCATGTTAATGTAAAGTTGTCTATGATGTGCCGCAATAGATCTTGAGCACCAAATTTGATGGAGTCCAGTTTCTCTTGTTATTAAAGTAAACACATCTGATATTTGAACACAGGTAGAGTTCTTGCAACCCCTTAAAAATATGTCAGATTTTCATTTTTCAATCAAACTTTTTCTATTAATAAAAAACTTTGCTTTAATGTTTTACTTTTGTGTCTGAATTTCCATAGAAATCACCTGATTTGCACTTTGACCAGGGATATATTCATTATCTATGGTAATATCTAGATAATGAGATTTTAACACTCCACTGTAACCCTGAACAGATTTTGGCTTCCCCTCAGGGTGTACTGGAGTACTAAAGGTTATTTAAATTTCTATGGGTATAAACGTAGATAACTTATAATGTGGACAATAAAGTTGTGAGGAAGCATGTTGAACATTATATTTACATGTTCTCATACAAATCCAGGCATATTTTAATCTGATTTGCATGTTATTGTCCTGAATATGCGTGTAATATTTGCAGCTTGACATTTAACAACCATTAATTGTAAACTTCTTTCAGTTACGTGCTTTACTATACATTTCTAAATATGTTTTGTAATATGTAAATACTTCTCTTCTTATAAGTCATCTCAATTGATGTGTGTGAAAAGAAAAGAAACTCAAGTCAATTTTAAAATTAAAATGATCAGAAATCACTAACAAAAACATGAAAACACTGACCACATCATAAACTGTTAAGAATAAGGTAGTTATCACATTCCTACCTTAGTAGAAGGTATTTTTCAGAGGAGTTAAATGTGAAATGGCTCCAGACCTCCACATGTATGATAGTCTTTCAAGTATTTGTTGACAGTGTTAGTAAATACAGCAACGAATAGAACTTGACAATTAGAATCAGTGAAATTTCAAACCCAAGATATAATACTGTAAATTCAGAAATTATTGCGTGCATTTATTATTGCGATTTTGTCATTTTTGACTTAAATACGATTTTAATTTTTACGATTTTGAGACAAATCCTGTTTAGTTCATATAAAATATTTCAAAATGCGAGTTTAAATTATTGCGTTTACAACTCTGTCGCATTTGTCGCAATAATAAAAACCTTGCAATAATTTCTGAATTTACAGTATACAAAATATGTTTTATATGTACATCACTATAACATCATCTACTTTCAGAATAATGTGCTTCACTACCTATCTAATGGGTCAGCTACTATAGGGTTTGGATATCTGAAAGAACTTTTCTATGTTTTGTAATATGTAAATACTTCTCTTCTTATAAGTCATGCATCTCAATTGATGTGTGTGAAAAGAAAAGAAAAATAGTAACTCAAGTCAATTTTAAAATTAAAATGATCAGAAATCATTAACAAAAACATGAAAACACTGACCACATCATAAACTGTTAAGAATAAGGTAGTTTTCACATTCCTACCTTAGTAGAAGGTTTTTTTCAGAGGAGTTAAATGTGAAATGGCTCCAGACCTCCACATGTATGATAGTCTTTCAAGTATTTGTTGACAGTGTTAGTAAATACAGCAACGAATAGAACTTGACAATTAGAATCAGTGAAATTTCAAACCCAAGATATAATATACAAAATATGTTTTATATGTACATCACTAACATCATCTACTTTCAGAATAATGTGCTTCACTACCTATCTAATGGGTCAGCTACTATAGGGTTTGGATATCTGAAAGAACTTTTCTATGTACCAGTCATGTTTATATTAAAGGTAATTTGTAGTATATTATCATTTGTAAAAGGAGAAAATAAACAAGTAGCTGAAGATATAAAGAATTGTAATATACATGTCAGGGATGTAGCGTGTTTCATATAATGTGCAGAACGAAATAAAGAAGGGGGCATGACCCGCCAGAAACTTTTTACTAAACATTTCAGACTTAAATAGAGGACATATTCAGACATCATTTTCGGAGAAAACAAAACACAAGGACCACAAATTACAGCATCTTATTTAACTAAATATCTTAACCATGTATATTCTAAAAGCCATTTTGCAGACAGACTGGGCGTCAACAGTTACCATTTTCTCAACAAAAAAAATATAAGGAAGTCTTAGTTCCCAACTATCACATAATTATACATTTAAAATTCACATCTTTTGGAGCGTGTTAATAACAAAACCAACTAAACAAGTTAATGTGATACCCCTTCCATAAGAACTCAGTAAACAGGAAGATGAATAACAATGTATGAAATAACTCAAAACACAGGAAATATGATACCAAATTTCAGTTTGTTCTGATCTTTAGTTCCTGAGAAAAACATGATATAAATTTCATACATGACTATTATCTGTAATGATATATAAGTACATGTATTCAGTAAAGAGGAAGCTGACAAGCATTGATTGTGAAAATGCATCACACTGTATATCATATCATGCCCATAGAAAGCTTGCTACACAAGGTTTGAGTTCCGTAGTTAAACAACAATTTTATTTAACGGACGAATGGACAGATAGACAGGAGAAAAACAGTATACCCCTCCTTTTCGTTGTGGGGATATAAAAAGAACTTAGCAACAAATTAGTTTAAAATAATCGATAACACAAATGAATTTGCCAGAACAAAGAATTTTTTTTTGGCATATCAAATGATTTTGTTGGTTTATGCTTTAGTTACTGGCCTAAACATATTTGTTAACGTGACATTGATATCTGCATGTAAAGGGAACACCAATAGACCTATTCTGAGTTGATAGACAACAGTAGGAGCCATTGCCAAAGCGAAAAAAAAATATACTGCCTGTGTATATAAGTGGCCAATCCTAACAAAATCTTTGTAAGGAGACTTCTCTTGAAAATCTAAACCTGGATTTTCCAATTGCGTGAAAAACTGAAACGGGCTTGCAAAAGAAACTACAGTTTTGTGTTCTTATTTTTCATGCAAGTCCAAAAGAGAGGATGAAATAACTATAACGTATTGAATGCCAACATAGATGAAAACAGTCCACTGACAGAAACGCTATAAGTGAACACAATAAACACAATATGTTTCAAAATTTAATGAACCTATAAGTACCAATATATTTTTAATGACCAGTAGCAGACCAGTAGACTAGTTTGATACAGTAGCAATAAGATAGAATAGCGACAATATATATCTTTAATCGTTTTATTTCATCTCTCAAAATTTTCTGTGATCAGATGATGTGCATGCAATGGCGTGTTAGCGTATATGGAAGTACGCCCCTGCATTTTATGCAAATATGAAATGAAAATATATGATAAAGATGTTGTAGAAATATTGTGAGTATTCTCAAGTCACAAATTATTTCTGATAAAAAAAAATTTATAAATTGTTCTGTCATTACTGACCTCAAATGTCATGCCCAAATTTCATGTTTTATATTCCAGCGATTATTGAATGTTACAGACAAGTATATTTATGTTTTATATTACAGGGATTATTGAATGTTACAGACAAGTATATTTATGATCAGTTAGTTAAAGGTAAAGAAGATGATTCATTTTATAAAGGGTAAGTACTTAGCAGATAAAAAAAACTTTGATGTAATGATTCAAATTCAATCATTTTGCTTTTTGTTGAGCCTGTGGTGAAAGCTGAAAAAGTGAGACAAGTCAGTTCTACATTTCATCATTGTTGGCGTCATCAACATTAGGTTCAGTCTGTGGTTGAAGTTTTTATAACAACTATGATTTTGACAAACCTTCATGGAATTTTATGAAACTTTGATAAAGCTAATGTGTGATCAGAAGACAGTATCAAGAGCATTTATTCTCATTTTTAACCGGATTTCCATAGGAAAATATCAGTTATTAATTTGATGATGTACGGCGGGCGGCCAGGCTGCTGCCAAACAGTGTCTGTGCATTAACTTGAAAACACTTTTAAAATTTAGATATGTTGTTTCCTGTGACTAAATGATGGTCAAGTTCTATTTTCAGGATTTTAGCTTTTATTGTGTTCAGTTGTAGACCTTTGAGTATCGCAAAGTGATACTTATAGCGTTGTCCGTGCAACAACTTGAAAAAGCTTTGAAGAAATCATTTCAAATTTAGATATGTTGTTTCCTGTGACTAAATAAATGTCAAGTTCGATTTTCAAGATATAAGCTTTTATCGTTGTTGAGTTGTAGACCTTTAAGTAGCGAAAAGTGATACTTAGAGCATTGTCCGTTCAATAACTTGAAAACGCTTTGACGATAAGGGTTAAGTTGATTTTCATGAATTTAGGTTTTATCGTTGTTGAGTTGTAGACCTTTAAGTAGCGAAAGTGATACTTATAGCATTATTAATGCAATAACTTTAAAACGCTGGACGAAATCTTTTAAAATCTAGATATGTTGTTTCCTTTGACGTAAAGAAGGTCAAGGTCGAATTTCATGATCATTCTTCCATCAACGATGCATATGTTACAAGACAACAACCGTTTGATAGTGAGTTTCTGGAAAGTTATTGAAGTGACCACAAGATTCTATGGTTTCATATTAAATAAGGTTATAATTTCATGAACATATATCTTTCATTATTGACTTCATGATTTCTGCCTACCCACCCTGCTGAATTTTTTAACTGTTAACTTACAGATACAGTCTAAGGTTAAAGTTTTTCAGTAATCAATACTCTTGTCAAATTTCATATAATTTTATGGAACATGGACAGAAACTTCTTCATGTTCAAAAGTCATGTCAAGAGCAAAATTTTTTTAATTTTTCCATATTTTACTTAAGAAATAATTCATGCAAGCCATAGATTTGTTGGAAATTTTCACCTGACCTGGGTCGTTATATTCGTTAATTTTATCCCTCGCTAACGCTCAAGATAAAATTCGAATATAATGGCCCAGGCTATGTGAAAATTTCCAACAAATCTATGGCTAGCATGAATTATTTCAATTCTAATAGGACAAATACGGTAATTTGAAAATCTGAAGCGAAGGTAAGATTGCCATGTGTATGGCTGTTCTATTTAACCCCTGTAAGATAAAAGCTACAAATTTCAAATAAATCTAAGGCTTGCATGAATTATTTCTCAAATAACCACTAGAAAAAATGTGTTCAATCCTTATAATTCTTAACCCAAACATTTTTTTTCGATTGGCTACTATTTACTGTCAAATTCACAGTTGACATGTCATAACTAAGGAGTGACCCTCCATGTTGACTTGCTGAAGTCCATGAATGTTCGAATGATGCAATAGAATAGGAAATTAAACAACACCTACCTCAAAACTCCATTTAAATACGACATTATCCAATTTTAGAGCGTACACGTAATGGAATAATCTTCAGCTTGAGAGTTTTCATTCTTATGGCGTCATATTTTGACATGACGTTAATGTGCCAAGATCATTCATGATATTTCGGGGAATTTTATTTTATTTTGATTTTATACATTTTTTAAGATCTTATGCATTAATTCTTTTTGTTATGCATTAGAATAGGAATAACAGTTCTGTAGTTTCTTTTTCAAATTCAATTTGAACACAACGAAATCCACATAGTGTTTGCACATAGGTTACAATACATGTGCATTTACGTGAGAGGTCAAAAGTAACAGCCATTAATATGAACATCTCTGAGTCTGCGCTAAGTAAAGATATATGGAGAAATTTATCACGCTGTTGTTTACAAAGCGAAAGAAACACTTCATATTAGAATGATAAATATACTTAGTTTTTGGCAGTCATCAACATCACACTTTCCCAGCAATCCCAGGCAGGTTGTTTTTCACAGGGTTCGGTTAAATCCTTTATCAAAATTTATCGAAGTGGTAAGCAAATATTTAGTTTACAGTTGACATTTTTTTTTTATTTCATCTGAATATCATTCATTAGTGGAAAATCAGCTGACATGCTTATTGGCATAATGTTCTGGAAACTGTTGTAGAGCTACATGTACAGTCATTTTAAATATTTTGTTGAATTTCAGTTTTTTTGTGTTAATAGCCTTCATATGTTCACATATATATTTCCACAGGTGTATAGTATTTATGTTGAGACAAGCTTTAACAGAAGATCTTACCAGTCAGAATAAAGTTCTACAATATATAGGGTCCAAGTTCAGAATTAAATTACCTCTACCTGAATGGTATAGTGATGAGGAAGTTGGACAGTTTTTAATCAGGTACATTATATATGTGGTCAGATACTGATTGCATTATATATGTGGTCAGATACTGATTGCATTATATATGTGGTCAGATACTGATTGCATTATATATGTTGTCAGATACTGATTGCATTGTATTGACAAATGGGATATATTATCAATATCTAAACATGTATGAATTTTCAAATCCATCATGCTGCTTAAACTACATTTTAAGAGGCTTTTTAAAGTTACTTTTTAAAATTCACTTCTAATGTGATGGATATCCTTTAACCTGACAGTAGATTTGTGCAGTCATTAATGCTTTACATTTCAACAGATCTATTTTATATTTTGTATGTTAACATGCACATAATATAAAGTTTTTGAAGGAGAATCTCACCTTTTTCTAATTTGTACATTGACCTTTAATCAAAATTACAGTCTTAGCAAAATTCTTTAATATTATGGTCTTACTCGTATCGACTATGATGTCTGCAATTCATATTCAATATCCTTTTCTAAAACAAATCATTTTCAATTGTTCATAGAATGCAATACTTTTAAAAGTCGAAGTAGGCAACTAGCTTTTTATGGTCAATTATTGACACTACTAGGCCCTTTTTCTTATGATGTCTTTGGTGATATACTTGGTAATTATGAATATATGGAGATATATGTTCATGAGACAGACAAAGCTAAAAGACATCTAGAGATCAACATACAGTGCGGGAGTTTCTCGCTGCATTGAAGACCCATTGGTGGCCTTCGGCTGTTGTCTGCTGTATGGTCGGGTTGTTGTCTCTTTGACACATTCCCCATTTCCATTCTCAATTTTATTCAACAATAAATAAGTGGGTTAAGGGTCCACACAGTACGTCAAACTCTTAAGTATTCATGTATTATTGTTTTTTTTTCAAAATACTGTTACATATGATGACTGTCTATGTTTTACCTTAGTAAAGGTTACAACTAATTAAGCTTGTGTGTACTATAAACAGGTTAATCAAAGATTTAACTTTGGGAAAGAACTGTTTTCTAGCTTATTTAGTATGTTGCTGAAAAACTCATTGTGTCAGTAAAAAGTCATGATTAACATCCAAATACCTGAGATACAAAAACAATTTCTTTTAAATGTATAACAAGTTATGTTTTATGACACATTATTATTTATTTGAAAGAGAATTATCATTGTCAAACATGAAAAAAGAGAATACTGCAGTAATAAATGTCTTTTGAAACATATTTTTATGCCCCCGCCGTAGTGGTGGGGGGCGTTAAGTTTTACCCTTGTCCGTCTGTACATACGTCCGTACGTCCCAAAATTAGTTTCTGTTCTCTAACTTAGGTTTACCTCAACCAAATGTTATGAAACTTATACACAATGCTTATTACCACAAAACACAGATCAAGTTTGAATTTCGGTGGCGTCACTTTAATCATTCTAGAGTTATGCCCCTTTATAAATGGAAAAATTGCTAAATTTTTAGTTTCCGTTCTCTAACTGAAGTTTGCCTCAACCAAATGTTATGAAACTTATACACAATGCTTATTACCAAAAAAACACAGTTCAAGTTTGAATTTTGGTGGCGTCACTTTAACCGTTCTAGAGTTATGCCCCTTTATAAATGGAAAAATTGCAAAATTTTTAGTTTCCGTTCTCTAACTTAAGTTTGCCTCAACCAAATGTATGAAACTTATACAGAATGCTTATTACCACCAAACACAGATCAAGTTTGAATTTTGGTGGTGTCACTTTAACAGTTCTAGAGTTATGCCCTTTATAAATGGAAAAATTGCAAAATTTTTATTTTCTTCTAAATATCAAGTAATTTTTAAAAATGGAGTTATCTGCCTTTGTCCATGATTATAGTTGAATAAACTACAATCAATGCTTTATACAATGCAATGTTTAATTTTGACTTCCACTGATAAAACACAGATCAAGTTGAATTTGGGTAGTGTCACTTTAACCATTATTATGCCCCTTTATAAATCGAAAGATTGCAAAATTTTTAGTTTCCATTCTGTAACTTAAGTTTGCCCCAACGAAACATTATGAAACCTATACACAATATTCATTACCACAAAACTAAGATCAAGTACAAATTTTTTGTTTTGGTTTTCTAACTTTAGTTTGTTTTTGTATATTCTACCATAAAAAAATTTCCACGAAATCAGTTGTCCTGTTTACCATTATACAGATTGTAATAGTTGCTTTCATTTTTTTTGTCAACAACATAGTAAAACAAAAATGGAGGAGGAATTGAATACCACATGCACAAAATCAAACCAGTTCTATGTTAGCAGTGTTCTCCCCAGGCCGTTTTAGCTCCGCGGCTCCGAGACGCTATATTTTTTTTCCCTGATGCTATAATAATTTCCGCGACGCTATAATTAGTTTGAGGATGCTATTTTTCTTGTCTCAATATCGCAAAGCCAAGTCCTATATTTTGAACTTTCATCTAATTACCGCTTGTGATCATAAAAATTATATCACCTTTAATTGTAATCCCTTCAAGTCGGACAATAGAGGCAATTTAGAGTGATTAAGTAGGTGTTAATTGCCCTTTGGGTGATAACTGAATGGATACAAATACCCCAAGCTGACACTTGTGACATGACTAATACCACGTGGTCCAATCGCAAATTTCGACATGGAGAAAATGTAATCAGAAAATCGGAAAACTATTCGAAATCTACGTTTGCATAATCCAAATTCAAAGATACAAACAATTTCTCTCTTTAGAAAAGAGGTTAGGTCGTATATTTTTACAACTTTTAAAAAATTACTTTCTTTCATTTCCGGTACTGCTAGTTAATCGAGAGCGTATATTAAACATTTTGATTTTGAGTTAAATAAGTTTGAAACTTCTTTCGAAAGAGATCATTATTGGCTTTAGTAAATGTTTCATCCATTTAATGCATTAAAAGAGTCATATTCATTCCCAATCTCTTGTCAAACATTGTTTATTTTGGTAAATTTTTCTTCCGCCGCCATTGGAATATTTATTCCAACTACAGATCGGAACCGGACCAGATATGACAAAATTCCGCATTTTTACGATAATAACTCTGCACAAATGGCACGGTAGACAGAAAAAAAAATCACAAAAGAAAAAACTACGCATTCCATACGCATTAACAGACTATTTATTAGATATCTTTGCAAAAGGTATTCACTTTGAAAATACATCGTTTTAATATACTGACTAAAGTAGCTTAACTTTGTTAAAAATGTATATCATTTTGATATAAAGAAACAACTGGGACTAATTCATTGAGTACCATGAAACATTGAATTTCATAGAGATTATAAAGAAAAAAGTTTTTTAATTGAAATTTTATTGCTATATGATACTTTCTCTTCCCTTTTTATATAAAAACCAGTTCTTTTTTTTTTGCTAGATATTTAGTATTGTATGTATACAGGTTGTACTATGATAAACCATTCATTCATTCATTCATTCATTTAGTTGAGTAGGTAGGGTAACCGGAACCACACATATATTTTTATTTGGCCCAAGAGGAAACAAATAATTCTGTAACTATAAATGAATATAGAAAACATAAACTGAAACAACTGTTATCATGGTTAAAGTTTAATTGTATTCTCAGTTATGAATTGGACAATATAAACATATATATAAACATAAACAGATAAAGGAAATAGAGCATCGCTGCGACGCGTCAAATGACATTGAAAAAAAATACAGTTTATTTTTTTACGCCAAATGTGATGCTATGCAAAAGTTCTGGGGAGAACACTGGTTAGTAAATAGCATTATATTGGATGTTTAAATTTCTGTCTCTCTTTTTCTTGATCTAGGGAGTGCATTTGTATACATCTAGAAAGTAATACAGATAAATTCAATCTTTTAATGTAAGTATTGCTTTTAATGTTAATATGTGAAGATACAGTATTGAAATTTTGTGGGAGAAAGCAATGAATGCAGAAGCTGTTGTTAATTTGGATTATTTAATTTCCTGGAATAAGTATCATTCGGCAATTATCAGTTTTTAGTATAATGTAAGTAACAGTTGGCATATCGTGTTATTTATTGTATTATAAGTAATAATAGATATCTGGTCTTACAGTAGCAAGCCTATGTTAACTTAACACCAACCATAGATTAACTGTTCATGTTGTCTGGGAAACATTCAATAAATAAAATAAAAAAATGACTGATCACTATTTACCACATAAACTCTAGGTCAATTCATATGTAACAAGTTGACACAATAAAAGTTTACTGAATTTTATAAACGATATGTGTATACATGTATAAGTTAAACATTTTATCGATTACACTATCTAATTTGCTGGTTGTATTTCAGTTTCATGATAAGGAAATTATTTGCCTTTTCTAAAGGAGAATGTGCAGCAGAAAGTGCAGATAGCCCAGCCAATCAGGAATTGTTACTAGGTGGCCATCTCTACCTTGCTGTCCTTAAGGTACTTTGTAGGCCATGGTAGATTGTTATAATGTTTTGATAAGATAACTGCTGTCTAATATGGAATTATATAATGCTAATATGACATTCTGTTGTCTGAAGACAAAATAGGCTTATAACAGTTTCTATTAAAAATAAAATCTTATGATTTTGTTCAACTTAAATTTTTTAGTGATTATTCAATATTGCTCATTAGTCTTAATAGTACATCTTTCAATTACTTGTTAATGTCAAAGACTTCTGGGCTTTCAGTCTAAAAACTTGACACAGTATTCAGAGAACAAAACTTGTGCATGAAACACCAATTCCAGTAATTGATTAATTGATTTTTGGAGTCTGAGTACTATAATCGTGATCAAAAGAGTTATGACCGCAGGCCTGGTGTCTGCTATTAATAAACTTGTAAGTCTTTGAAAATCGTAATAGTAAAATTAACAATAAAAAATAAATTTTTGTTTTTTTCCATAGATTTTTAGCTCACCTGGCCCAAAGGGCCAAGTGAGTTTTTCTCATCACTTGGCGTCCATCGTCCGTCGTCCGTCGTCGTTAACTTTTACAAAAATCTTCTCCTCTGAAACTACTGGGCCAAATTTGACCAAACTTGGCCACAATCATTATTGGGGTATCTAGTTTCAAAAATGTTTCCGGTGACCCGGCCAACAAACCAAGATGGCCGCCATGGCTAAAAATAGAACATAGGGGTAAAATGTAGATTTTGGCTTATATCTCTGAAACCAAAGCATTTAGAGCAAATCTGACTTGGGTAAAATTGTTTATCAGGTCAAGATCTATCTGCCCTGAAATTTTCAGATGAATCGGACAACCCGTTGTAATTTTAAGGAAATTTTGCCGTTTTTGGTTATTATCTTGAATATTATTACAGATAGAGATAAACTGTAAACAGCAATAATGTTCAGCAAAGTAAGATCTACAAATAAGTCAGCTTGACCAAAATGGTCAGTTGACCCCTTAAGGAGTTATTGCCTTTTATAGTCAATTTTTAACCATTTTTCGTAAATTTTTGTAGTCTTTTACAAAAATCTTCTCCTCTGAAACTACTAAGACAAATTTAACCAAACTTGTCCACAATCATCATTAGGGTATCTAGTTTAAAAAATGTGTCCGATGACCCCGCCTGTGAACCAAGATGGCCGACATGGCTAAAAAATAGTACATAGGGTAAAATGCAGTTTTTGGCTCATATCTCTGAAACCAAAGCATTTAGAATAAATCTGATGGGATAAAATTGTTCATTAGGTCAAGATCTATCTGCCCTTAAATTTTCAGACCAATCAGGCAACACGTTGTTGGGTTGCTGCCCCTGAATTGGTAATTTTAAGGAAATTTTGCAGCTTTTGGTTACTATCTTGAATATTATTATAGATAGAGATAAACTGTAAACAGCAATAATGTACAGCAAAGTAAGATCTACAAATAAGTCAACATGACCAAAATTGTCAATTGACCCCTTAAGGAGTTATTGCCCTTTATAGTCAATTTTTTACAATTTTCATAAATTTTGTAAATTTTTGTAAATTTTTACAAAATATTTTCCACTGTAACTACTGGGCCAAGTTCATTATAGATAGAGATAATTGTAAGCAGCAAGTATGTTCAGTAAAGTAAGATCTACAAATACATCACCATCACCAAAACACAATTTTGTCATGAATCCATCTGTGTCCTTTGTTTAATATGCACATAGACCAAGGTGAGCGACACAGGCTCTTTAGAGCCTCTAGTTAAGCATATAAATCTAATACAAAAATATTATGAGTGGAAATTATTTACATGTTTAAAACCATTAACAGGAAAAGATAGAGTCATGGTTAATTTCATTAAAAGCAACTATACAAAGAAATGCCAAAACTAAAGAAGGATCCTACAAATTAACTAGCAGTAAGTAAATAAGATCTTAATGTATTCAGTAAGTAAATAAAGTAAAAATAGAGAGAAGTTAGAATTAAGGTGGATGATTAAAATCCATAGAATTTTTTTATAATTTGTCAAAATGTAGTTTTTATCATGCTTTTTTCCAAAATATAATGAAAGTATGGGTCATCGGACTTTTTTTCACGCTACAGGTTGTGCAAAATTGTCAGATTTTGTATAGATTATTCATGGTAAATCAAAAAAAAAAAAACTACATCATAGAATTTTAAGATAAAATGTGAGAAGGTTAAGAAATAATTCATGGGGGCTTGAATAAATCGTGATTTTACCACGGGTTGGCCCTTTATGACAAATATTTTATCCTGAGCGATAGCGAGGGGTAAAATATCGGCATAAAGGGACAACCCGTGGTAAAATCAATATATATTAAAGCCCCCGTGAATTATTTCGATTCTAATAGGACAAATACGGCAATTGTTTTGGATCGAAGCGCTCTAGATGAAGGCATTATTTGCCGTTCCCATGAATAAACGCACTATTAAATTGACGTAAAAGACCGGAGCAAACTGAATGAATGACATGCTTAAACTATTTACAATAACATATTTAGATAGGTTTGGATGAATCTAAATGATAATTGTACTTACATGTCTTATATATGTATACAAAACATGGCTTATATAACACATTTTAACATCGTTTGTTTACGTTTCCTTGTTGTGATGATTTTCGGTTTCACAAGCGTGTATTTTCCCATAAAATGCTTATATTCTTACGTCATCGTTCTATGACGTCCGATAGTTCATTCATAAAAAAGCATATGACGCGGGAGTACGATCGGAACAGCCCAAACAATATATTCATATTTTACCACGGGTGTGTACTCAAAGCGTTTGAAGAACGTCCTGTTAGAATAGCTCTTATAACATGCTTTCAGATAAAAAAAAAAGAAAAAATGGGGTCACCGGACTTGTTTTGTTGCTTCATATTAAAATAGGTAAATTCACAACACTTTCTATTATAAAAAATACTTTATCTGAGTTATCTCCCCTTATGTGGCAAAGTTGAAAAAAATAAGATTCAAACAAAAATAATGTGTTTTTTAGAAAATACAGCCGTAAATATGATAAAACACAGAATTTTCTATTTTAACATGAAAAGTCTTACACATGAATTGCATACTATTCTCAAAATTTGCACATTTTATTAAAGATCTAGACCAATTGTTTTCTGCTACTTCAAAATCCAAGATGGAGGAAGACACCCCCAGCCACTTAAAGTAGATATGAAAATATTTAAAGAAAGGATAGAGTTTCTTTCTTGCTTTTTTTCGTGTAAGAATATAACTCATCAATTAAAATTTGATCAATCATTAAAAAGTAGTTTATAATTTTACTTTACTATTGTAGAAACACTGGAAGATGCATTTAGACACACCTCAGATATTAGTAAATCTGTAGAATATTTACTTTCAACTGGTAACCTGGTATCAAGGTCAGGTCTTGGTTTAATGCAGGTATGTATGAATTTAAGGACATGTTGGTTATTTATCATTGAGACAGCAACCGTGCAACATCATATAACAGAAAAGACTTAAAGAGGTCAACATATGATCTTCATAGAATATGCAAAAGTCTATTTTTCCACAAATGTAGGCAACTTGTAAATTATTTCAACAGACACAACCAAAGATATATTACAAAAATTCCATGGACAAAAACACTATCATATATACTAAAATCTCTTGACGACACATTAACATGCTGGGGTTAGACTTGTTATTTGAGGACTTCACTTCTCTCCTTTATATTTCAATCTGTTGAATATAAAAAGATACATAGAAAAACATGATTTGAAGACATACATTGAATTATAGTATCCAACTAAATACATCCTTGTGGCTGTATTTCATATTTGTTTATTGTTTATTGTTTTGTACATATATCAGACAGTTAGTTTTTTGTTTGAATTGATTTTCATTTGTCATTTTGTGGTATTGGTTTTGCTCATTGTTGAAGGCCATATGGTGACGTATAATTGCTTATCTTCTAATTTCATTTGGTCTCTGTTGAAGAGTTGTCTTATTAGCAATCCTTCTACATTTGCATTTTTATCAATTTATTAGGAATTAACATAATTGAACTTTCTCAAAACAAAAAAAATTCCTATAAACCAGGAAAATTGATGCCCACAAAATAAATGAATCCACAGAATTGAATTTATTTACTTTAAGTTTATATAGGGATAAAACTATTGTGGTAGTCAGTATTCTCAATATGTTATCTCAATATGAAGGGATAAAAATAGTGTATATCCTAACTATTGTCAATATGTTAGTTTCTAGGTCATGTTCATACTTCCTTAGCAAATAAGAAATGCACTTACATTTATATCTCTATAACTTTTACATAGTACACATAGAGGAAAAATGAAAGCTGTGTAAATATGTCCACAGTGATTAATAATTGTTAATAAGTGAGATAATATTGTCTTAAATTTTTCATGTTGAGAATTAATCACAGAAGTTGGAAAATACATTTAAAACCCTGTTAAAGTTTCAAATGCATAGTGTAGATGAAAAAAGTAAAGCAACTTTAACCTTTTACAATAAATCCATTGATAAAGCAAATATTTTGTTATATAATTTAAGGTTTAGCAGTTATGGCTATCATCACAATTACTCATATAATATATATGCCATAATGACATAGATATTATTTTGTTGTCAGACATCAGGGTTAGCAGTTGTGGCAGACAAACTCAATTTCTACAGATATCTTTCACATTTCCGTTGTGTTCATAGAGGAGCTTTCTTTGCTGAGATGAGAACAACAGCAGTCCGAAAATTTCTTCCAGAGGCTTGGGGTAAACTAGAATATTTGTTTATATATATGTATAGAATTGAGAAAGAAAAGCGAGGAATGTGTCAATACTATGTTTGAGATACGATAATGAGAATCCCTTATATTTAATTACGATTTCAACTTCATTCAAATCGATTAATAAAAATAAAAATTGCAGTTCAGTGTAACTAGATGATAAATCTCATGAACAATTAATTAATTTTAGGAGGTCAATAAGATTATCAACTGTTCTGTTGTAACACCAAAAATGAAATAAGTTTTGGAGAAGACAAATCAGTCTTGAAACATGAAATATAAATTGCATTAAAAAGTGATATTAAAGATTTGTACATACTTTTTCAGGTTTTCTATGTCCTGTGCACACACCTGATGGAGCTCCTTGTGGTCTCTTAAATCACATGACTGCATTTTGCCAGGTATGGAATATAAATGTGTTGTTACTTTGTTAGATTATTTTTTAATTTCTTCAATAAAAATTGTTGTGGGGTATAATAATGTGTCTGTCTTTTTAAACTTCAATACAGAGAACAAGTCTTTCATTTTATTCTACATAAAATTTGGTCTGAGTCTGTCATAGTAAGAATATCAACCATAAGAAATTCCAAAATATGAGATTAAAGTTCAAGTTGATAGTTTGCTTGTAGGTACAGTAAAATAGTTTTGAAAACAACTTTTGTCAGACTAGGTTCACCAGTATTTATAGTGAGAATATGAAGTCTCTTTTAATTTCAAGGTTAGAGGTCAAAATTCAATGTCAGGTGAATTCAGTCTTTGTTGAAGTCATCAATGATTAATATTGTTTGGTCAATATGTTAATGAATTACTTATTATTGGTTTGATATTGTCATAGTTGATATTATTATATATCAAATGTCTTAATCTCAATAAATGACTGGTTATACTAACATTGTAAGCTGTTTATTTGGATTCAAATGTATTCATTTAAAACTTTACATGAGGCTTTCATTTTCCTCAAAAAAGTTTTAATTTGAATGATTATTTAGCATGATCTACGGCAACGTAAAACTAACTAATAGAGAAAGTTACAAGTAGTAAATTCTTTTGAAATAAGTTTTATCACTCATTGTTACAGGCTGTCAACATACAGTATCCAACAGCTCATCTATACAAGTTACTGATATCACTTGGTGTGACGCCATTTGATGCTCCTCCACCAGGGAACCTTAAGGACTGTTTCCCTGTTTTACTTGATGGTAAACACATGGGATATCTTCATTCATCTATAGCTAAAAAAGTAGAACAGAAATTGAGGGTCATGAAAGTCAAAGCTTTGAAACAGGTTTGCAATTAAAGAATTTAAGGAATGCAATTAAAGAATTTAATAGGTATATTAATATTGTGAATCTTTAACAACCAACAATGGTGCAATACTTATCAGTTCAATTTTTGTGCCTTTTGAAGAAGTATGTTATGATTAAAATTTTAAGTGTTATTTTGTAATTATTGTGATGATTCTCCTGTCATATTTTCGACACTAATAAGAATACAAGGGAGTATAGACAAAAAAGTGATCAAGCTTTTTTTATACTTTGCTGTTATGTAATTTGTATTTGAAAAAACAATTTTCAATAATTAGAAATAATTTCAAAATTATGATAAAAATAAAAGGTCAACTAGTATATTTCCAAGCTATAAGTTGTTCACATTCTAATATTTTGTTAGAATGATATTGGTGACGAAAAAATTAATGATGTGAACCAAAAATGCAATTAAACAGTGTACGCTTAAATTACGGAGTCAAACTAGATCGATAGTAAAGGAAATCCCTGAAGAAAGAAAAGATGAAGAGCTGTGATCCACAGAATGTACAGTTGAATTCCAAAAAAAAGTTAAATGTCTGATGTCATATATGTAATTGTCTTTTAATTCTTTCAATTAAGTTTATAAACAAATTTTTACAACATTTACCTGTTTGACATTTTTATGACATTGAGGCTTAAAATAGAACAAGGGAAACAAATTTACATGTACACATTGAGGGAAATTAATCAATATCGCATTATATAAACATGAAAGAAACTGTTTTAAATTTATTTAAACAACAAAGAAGTGAGTATAAAATAAACTCATCAGTTTTAACTAAGCACATCTAGCTGGCCACTATTTTCTATGTAATTAAACGAAAGGTCACTTGTTAGGCTATGCAGATAACCAGATTTTTTAACATTAGATAAAAAGGAAATGGTTTTGTGCAGAAGAAAATTATGCAATTAACCAAAATATGCAATAAACTGGCATGTGATTAAGTGGAGTTGACTGTAAAAGCTATAGTAAAATTGAATTATCTGAGTTATCTCCCCTTCTGACTATTCTAAATAATTTTTATAAATCAAAAGTACCTGTAGTTGTTTTTTGTTTTCATTAAATATTCTAGTCTATTATTTGTTCCTATATTTTTCTGTTTTGTCAGGTTCCCACAATGATGGAGATATGTCTGATTCCCAAAACAGAATTTGCTAGTCAGTATCCAGGTCTGTACCTGTTTACAACACCAGCCAGGATGATGAGACCAGTAAAGAATCTAGCATTAGATACCACAGAGATGGTTGGATCATTTGAACAAGTTTACATGGATATCTGTATCAATCAGAGTGAGGCTATTCCTGGGGTAAGTTGGATCACTGGAACAGGTTTTTTTATGATGTGTGTATCAACCAGAGTGAGGCTATTCCTTGGGTAAGTTGGATCATTTAAAAAAATATACGGATATCTGTATCAATCTGAGTGAGGCTTTTCCTGGGGTAAGTTTGATCATATGACCAAGTTTATATGAATATCTGTATCAATCAGAGTGAGGCTATTCCTGTGGTAATCTTGATCATGTGTTCAAGGTTATATGGATATCTGTATCAATCAGAGTGAGGCTATTCCTGTGGTAATCTTGATCGAATGACCAAGTTTATATGGATATCTGTATCAATCAGAGCGAGGCTATTCCTGTGGAGAAGACGTTCTAAGTTGCAAAACTTGTGTCTAATCCTATTGTCAATGTTTTTGGACAATAAAATATGTTTAAAATTATTCCTGTGATAATCTTGATCATATGATCAAGGTTATATGGATATCTGTATCAATCAGAGTGAGGCTATTCATGGGGTAAGTTTGATCATTCAAACAAGTTTATATGGATATCTGTATGTTTAAGTATATTTGACATTAAAGATTGTTTATTTTCATGAATAAGACTATCTCAATTTAACATGGAATGCCTATTTTCAGGTGACAACACATGAAGAATTTAGTGAAATTAGAATGTTATCGTCTTTGGCTTGCCTTACACCCTACTCAGACTGTAATCAGAGTCCAAGGAACATGTACCAATGCCAGGTACAGTACTCTACTATGATTTACATGAGCAATGAAGGAAAGATTGCATGTCTGATATTGTTTTACTACATGTTTCCTTTTGTGTTTCTAAATCAAAGTATGTTTTTCTATTGATTCTGAATTTTTATTAAGGAAATGTTGTTTTAAAGAATGTGCTCTTCTGAAGTTGTGTGTCTTATTTTCACAAAACATATCCTTAATCATCTATGGACTATTTTCCTAAAAACCAAAAGTTGGTGAAATGTTTATATGGTTTTTACGTTACAGATTTATTTTTCTAATTGAATCAGTATTTTGTTTAGGTACCAGTTGAGCCATTCAGACTCCTCACTTATGGCTAAAAATAGTTTATTAGTTAGTATTAAGTAAAAAATGTTTGTCTGCATTAATAGTATTTCAAAACATTTAGAGAGATTGTTAGTTCTGACGATGTTTCCTCCTACAGATGGGTAAACAGACTATGGGAACACCATGCCATGCCTACAAGTACAGAGCTGATAATAAGTTATACAGAATACAGACACCCCAAACACCAATGGTCAGACCAGGCATGCATGATCACTACAATGTAGACAATTATCCCATGGGAACTAATGCTGTGGTAGCTGTTATATCATACACAGTGAGTTTGTGTATTAACTGTTTAAACACAAACATTTGATGTTCACTATAGGCATGCATGGCCACTAAAACATAGACAGCTATCTATCTTCAGGAATTTTTGTTGTTATGGCTGCTATACACAATGAGTCTATTTAACCGTCTTGTTTCAGTGGTTAAGAATTTGAAGATGAGTCCTATAGAATTCAAACAAGTAGAAGCTATTTAACTGAAATTTGTTATCAGACTTCATTGACAGCGTGCTGTACTGTGTGAAGTGGTTTCAGATTCATCAACTTCCTGTTTACTAAATACTTACCGTATATATTGTACTTATGCATACAGGCCATGTATGACATTTTTGTAGCATTTAACTAGGGAGCCCTAAATTAGAACTTCCTGACATTTGTTATCAGGCTTCTTTTGAACATGCTTTACAATGAATAGCATTATCAGAATAATTGCTCTTCAGCTTCCTGTTTAAAGAATACTTAAAGCTGGGGTATCATAAGTGAACAATAGCTCACAGTTCTAGTTTTTCCTTAAAATGTTTTTGATTAGTGACATTGCTTGTTGTTTAAAAACAGATCATAACAGCAACCAAGAAATATTTTTCTTCATTATCTTTAAAAAAAAGGCCCTGCATTTTACGTACATGACACAGCATTAAACAATGGAATATCTGATTTATCATTTACTGGAACAGACTTAATCCCAGATACCTCAAAGATATGTGTTCTATTATCTGATGACAAGTATATCATGTAAACTTAGCCTTGTAGGGTTATACAAATGAATTTGAAGCTTGGAATGTCTACTACATTGCCAATGCATTCCTATACTTGTGACATGACTGTGTTTTTTGTCATCCAAATTGAACAAATCATAAATTGTTTTATTTGTTTTCAGGGTTATGACATGGAAGATGCCATGATTTTGAATAAATCAGCATTTGAGAGAGGATTTGCTCATGGATCTATTTATAAGTCTGAGGTAGTGTATCAAACTGCTTAGACCATCAAATGCTGTACCCTTTGAAACATTCATTTTATATACTGTACATAATGTAACAAATTCTTTGGAACAGTCTTAAAATATGGATTTATCTACTTCAATTTAAGATAAGAAAATATATGTGGAATGAATATTATAGAAACATTTTCTATTCAGTCTTCTTTGTGTCCTGTTAATTTTTCTATCAAAATGGATGTTATGTTCAAAGATTGGCTAATGACCTGCTAATTGTTTTGAGTAGAAATAAAACACATTGCCTATTAAGCTTCCTATAAAGGTGAACCTCTTTTTGAACCACATCAAAAGACATAAATGAAGATGTGGAGTATAAGTCAATGAGACAACAACCAAACACAAATAACCAAAAGATGTCAAGAAGTTAACATACTGTCGTCTTATTTCTATTCTATAGACAACCCCATATAAATTTCTACCCATTATTAAATTAAATTACATGAAATTGCACCCCATTGATATATTTGACATTATAAAAAAGTGACCCACATCTTTGTATAGCTTTATCTTTATATAGGAAGAGATCCCCTGAAAATAATAGATAACAAATTGAAATGTTTGAAAGTGTTATACAAAGTATTTTTTATGTTTTCTGATGATGTTCTCTCATGAAAGTTGTGTTTTGAATATGTATCCCGATGCACCACCCATCCTATGAAATGATCATCAAAGTCAGTCATGTAATTTGAGTCAAGTGTATGACTTAAATAATTCATACATGTAAAATTCTGTGTAGACAAAACATTACTCCTATGATTCATAAAAAATATCAATATTAAAATCTAGAGTAAGCCAAACTTTTATGTAGTTTGTACCTGTTTGTAGTTTGAACAATCACTTTATACCATCTAACTCTATTTTCAGCTGATTGATCTGAGAAAAAAAGCTCAAGACAAATACAGAACCGTGCTAGTATTTGGTAAGAAAGGATTTTGATTATCATTACATTTACATTTTGGTTCTATATGAGGTCCATCTATATACTATTCATTTGAAATATCTAAAAAAATGTATTAATTAAGTTTTTTTATCATTACTCACACTTTAATAAGCCAGATTTAAGCAAAATAATGCAAATTTCCTGCACTTTTTGCATAAGTATGAGGCAATTATAGATAATGACAAAAAAAAAATATCCTGTGTAATATATATTTTTTCTACATTCCTGCTCAGAAGGAGGGGGTAAACTGTTTTGCCCCTGTCTGTATGTCCATCTGTCTGTCCTGTGAAATTTCCATTGCATTTTTCTCAAAAACAACAATTCAGAGCTTCCCTAAATTTGTTATACGGTTTCATGTCGGCATGCTATATTGTGTGACGCGGTTTAAGATTCATGGCTCATCAACTTCCTGTTAAACAAATTCTTATATTATCTAAACATAATGGCCATGTTTGAAATTTTTGTCCCATTTTTTGGGAGAACTGCTAATCAGAGGTTCCTGATATTTGTTATATGGCTTCATATCAGCATGCTTTACAGTGCGACACGGTTTCAGATTCATTGCTCATCAAATTCCTGTTTACTGAATACTATATTTTCTTTGGAATTACAATTTAAAACTTTCTGAAATTATTTATCAGGCTTCATGTGAACATGCTTTACTGTGTAATGCTTTTTTAGATTCTTTCTCTTCAACTTCATAAATACAAGCGGGGTATCATTAGTGAGCAATAGCTCACTGTCCAATTTATTAATAAGGAGATGTGGTTTGATTGCCAATAAGACAACTATGCAAGCAATTATAGGCAACTGTACGGTCGTCTTCAACAATGTGAAAAACCCATACCGTATAGTCGGCTATAAAAGGCCCTGACATGTAAAATATGAAACAATTCAATTGAGAAAAATAACGGCCTTATTTATAATAAAACAATTTACGAAAAAACAAATATGACAGACATGAACGACAACCACTGAACTACAGGCTCCTGACTTGGGACAGGCACATAAAGAATATTGCGGGATTAAACATGTTTGTGAGCGCTCAACCTTAACCTAACCTAGGACAGTGGTGTTACAGCACAACATAAGAACAAACTATTAAAATCAGTTGAAATGGGCTTAACTCATTAGATCGATACAAAGCAGAAAAAACATATAACAAAAACACAGACCGGATGTGGCAGGGTATTTATACATCCCTAACAACAAAAAGACACAAAGTATAGATCTGAGAATACTCACAGTTACTGACAGCTAGTTCAAAGCCAATAACAACTTATAAAAAAAAATCATGTATCTAAGACTAAAATATCAATCAGTACACATCTAGTTTTGCTCTTTTCTTTTCTACAGTAAGTGAGTCAGGTTATGTAGACTGTATAAATTTGTCATATTTAAGGAATGACTGTAATATTTTTTCTGTCTATGAAGAAATAACATAAAAAATGTGGTTGGTGCACACTGAATAACCCACGTAGCGGGTTATTTAAAAGTGTGCACCACATTTTTTAGGTTATTTCGAATAGACAGAAAAAATATTACAGTCATTCCTTATAATTTAATTCTATAATCCATTTTTAAGGAGTAAATTTTGAAAAAAACGTTGGTGACGTCACGGTCACATGACAAAATTATGTCTATGAGCTGATAGACAAAACACTTTCAGCTAATCAGAAGACGTGTTACATCCAAAATTAAATTATTACCAAATGTTCTATCATTCTTTAACAATAGGATTTATGAATAGGAAATATCTTCAACAAAATAAGCTATGTTTTTCTTGATAGGTAACATCGATATTTCTATATCAACATGAAAGGTGAAAAAGAGCAAATGACCTTGCTATCTATTTATCAAAAGATTTATGAAACATAGCATATTTATCATTGCATGGTATTTATCATGACAATTTGTTTCATTTATGTTGTATTTTACAACAGTAATAATTAAAAATAAAAGTGAAACATTAATTGAAGTTTCGTCATTTCTGTTAACACATCATTCTTTAACTGTTAACGTATTATTATGTTGATGTAAAATAAGGAGATGTAGTATGATTTCCAGTTTTGCAAGTATCCAGCACTGTTGACTCTGAAGTGAAATAATATTTTGTGAACTCTGATATGATATTGTTTTGTTGACTCTAATAATATTGTAATTTTTTAAAATTTAAATGATGTTGTTGACATAGGTAGTAAATCAGGAGACAAAAGAACAGAAGGAAAGCTGGATCCTGATGGTTTGCCTCCTATTGGTACATATCTACAAGATGGAGATGTTTTTTACAGGTACCAGTAAAATATTGGATGTTTTGGAACATATATTTTGAAGGACTTTTACAAACAAAACCTTTATCATTATATATTTTGAGATTAGTTTGATACTGGTTCGGTTAAAAATTGACAGTCAGTATAATAAAAAATAATGCAGTTATTTTTAAAGTAAAAATAGTTCTGATTTTATGTCATGTTATACAACCATATTAAAATTTTAAAAGATGAAGTTCTTATTATCGGGGCAGATTCGTGGCGGGCGTGTGCCCCCTAAAATTGGCAAAGCATGGGTTGTCCTCAGCTTAATAAAGAATATTTCGATAATTTTACCTCAAAAAAATTTAAGTTAATTTTAATTCTTTGGTGTATTTTTCTGATTCCAGCTACTCCAATCTGCAGACAGGAGAATATAAAGTAGAAAAGTATCGTAAAAGTGAACCTGCTTATGTTGATCACATCAAAATAATTGGTAATGACACTGGAACAGGCGACCTTGAAAAAGTCTGTATTGTACTTAGAATTGTGGTAAGTACTTTTAAAAGAGATGTCATTACCGAGAATTTTTGTAGAAGTGTGAACAAGGTTAGGTGGAAATAAAACATATGAAAGACATTTTCACAAACTTCTCATCATGCTGATGTACAGGTATAATTGTATAAACTCTTGTCTTATGTTTAAGATCATATGTTAATCTCTAGATGTACAGGTATAATTGTATATACTCTTGTCTTATGTTTAAGATCAAATGTTAATCTCTAGATGTACAGGTATAATTGTATAAACTCTTGTCTTATGTTTAAGATCAAATGTTAATCTCTAGATGTACAGGTATAATTGTATAAACTCTTGTCTTATGTTTAAGATCATATGTTAATCTCTAGATTTATATTGGTGTGTTCGTTTCTTTAGGGTTAATTTAAAAAAAATGATATGCTATCTCATTGATGTAAACCCTGAAACCCCACATCTTTTATTCACATATAATGCAACACTGTATAATGAAGATTCTATTATACAAAAACAAGTTTTTATCAATTATTAATGATTTTTATATCCCTGCTCCATACCCCTGCTCTAAACGAGAGGGATATACTGTTTTACCTCTGTCTGTCCATCTCTCCATCTTCTGAAATTTTCGTTTACATTTTTCTCAGGAGTTGCAAATCAGAGCTTTATGTGAGAATGTTTTACTGTGAGATGACTTCATGTTCATCACTCATCAACTTCCTGTTAACCAAATACTTATATATTCTTACACATAATAGTCATGTACAAAAGATTGTTCTTGGAAAAACATATCAGAGCACCCTCAAATCTGATATCAAGCTTAATGTCAGCATGCTATACCTTATGAAGTCATGGGTCATCCATTGCTCATCAGCTTCTGTTATCCAAATACTTCTACTGGGGGCATCATTAGTTAGCAATAACTCACAGTTCAACTTGTTTTAATTTTCAACTTTTTATTTATCGAATACTTATAGCAAGGTATCATTAAGGAGATAAAGTTCATAGTCATACTTGTTTTGAATTTTGTTTATGTAGTTGTCATAGGTGCAATAACCCTTTATTTTGACAATTGAGATAATATTACCATTTTTCTTTTTATAGAGAAATCCCATTGTAGGAGACAAATTTTCCAGTAGACATGGACAGAAAGGTATCTGTAGGTAAGATTTCCATCAAACATAGGAATGTGTAGGCATGTTTACAGTTTTCAAAAGAGGAAAAGTTGAATAAGGTATTTTGATAAATTTTGTAAATAAACGTATTTACACTTGTATGGAAATTTGTTGGTAATTACTGAAAATCAAACAAGTTCCTGCTAAATTTTGCATCACAACTTAAAACATTTGAGATCATAATTAAGATATGATTATTGCATGACACCAGAAGTTTATTTGGAGACATATCTAGGGTCAATCGGAGCAAGTTCAGCTAAATACCCAAAATTTTAAATAAGTCTATTGTTGGCACTGGTTTCTGTTAAACTGCGTACTAAGTTCAGGGGGTCACTGGAATGATTAATATAGAACAATTCTTCCTCTAAATTATAAATGATTAGGCTTTTGTATGGTTTTTATACGACCGCAAAAAAATTTTGTGGTCGTATATTGGTATGACGTTGGCGTCGTCGTCCGAAGACACATTGGTTTTCGCACTCTAACTTTAGTTTAAGTGAATGGATCTTTTTGAAATTTGACCATAAGGTTAAATACCACTAAAGGAAGGTTGGGATTGATTTTGGGGGTTATGGTACCAACAGTTAAGGAATTAGGGGCCAAAAAGGGCCCAAAAATAAGCATTTTCTAGTTTCCAGACAATAACTGTGGAACGGTGTATGGATCTCTCTGAAATTATACTACAAGTTTCCATACCACAAAGGGATGGTTAGGATTTGCTTTGGGGGGTTATGGCTCAAACCGTTTAGGAATTAGGGGCAAAAAAGGGGGAAAACAAGGTTGTCCTGGTTAATGGACAAATACTTTTAGTACAAAACATAATTTAAAGCAGTGTAAGGGAGATAAATCAAATACATCATTGAAATTATCTCCCTTACACTGCTTTTAAATTATGTATAAAGTAATGGTTAATGAACAATAAAGATAATTTAAAACAGTGTAAGGGAGGTAATCCAAATACAACGTTTTGGTTACTTCCCTTACACTGCTTTTAAATTATGTGTAAAGAAATGCATATTTATAAAGGAAGACCAGTAAAAATATCTGCAAATGTTGCATCTTTTTTTTTTTACAATAAAATCCATATGAAGGTCCAAAGGGTCCAAAATTAAACTTTGTTTGATTTTAGCAAAAATTGAATATATGAGGTTCTTTGATATGCTGAATCTAAACATGTATTTAGATTTTTGATTTTTGGCCCAGTTTTCAAGTTGGTCCAAATTGGGGTCCAAAATTAAACTTTGTTTGATTTCAACAAAAATTGAATATATGGGGTTCTTTGATATGCTGAATCTAACCATGTATTTAGATTTTTTATTTGTGGACCCCGTTATCAAATTGGTTCATATTGAGGTCAAAAGGGTCCAAAATTAAACTTTGTTTGATTTCATCTAAAATTGAATTATTGGGGTTCTTTGATATTCCAAATCTAACCGTGTATTTAGATTTTTAATTTTGGGTCCTGTTTTTTAAATTGGTCTACATTAAGGTCCAAAGGGTCCAAAATTAAACTTAGTTTGATTTTAGCAAAAATTGAATTCTTGGGGTTCTTTGATATGCTGAATCTAAACATGTGTTTAGATTTTTTATTATGGGCCCAGTTTTCAAGTTGGTCCAAGATAGGGTCCAGTATTTAAACTTTGTTTGATTTCAACAAAAATTGAATATATGGGGTTCTTTGATATGCTGAATCTAAACATGTATTTAGATTTTTGATTATGGGCCCAGTTTTCAAGTTGGTCCAAGATAGGGTCCAGTATTTAAACTTTGTTTGATTTCAACAAAAATTGAATATATGGGGGTCTTTGATATGCTGAATCTAAACATGTATTTAGATTTTTGATTATGGGCCCAGTTTTCAAGCTGGTCCAAATTGGGGTCCAAAATTAAACTTTGTTTGATTTCAACAAAAATTGAATATATGAGGTTCATTGATATGCTGAATCTAACCATGTATTTAGATTTTTTATTTGTAGGCCCCGCTTTCAAATTGGTTCATATTGAGGTCAAAAGGGTCCAAAATTAAACTTTGTTTGATTTCATCAGAAATTGAATTATTGGGGTTCTTTGTTATGCCAAATCTAACCGTGTTTTTAGATTTTTAATTTGGGTCCCGTTTTTTAAATTGGTCTTCATTAAGGTCCAAAGGGTCCAAAATTAAACTTAGTTTGATTTTAGCAAAAATTGAATTCTTGGGGTTCTTTGATATGCTGAATCTAAACATGTGTTTAGATTTTTGATTATGGGCCCAGTTTTCAAGTTGGTCCAAGTTGGGGTCCAAAATTAAACTTTGTTTGATTTCAACAAAAATTGAATATATGGGGTTCTTTGATATGCTGAATCTAACCATGAATTTAGATTTTTTATTTGTGGGCCCCACTATCAAATTGGTTCATATTGAGGTCAAAAGGGTCCAAAATTAAACTTTGTTTGATTTCATCAAAAATTGAATTATTGGGGTTCTTTGATATTCCAAATCTAACCGTGTATTTAGATTTTTAATTTTAAGTCCCGTTTTTTAAATTGGTCTACATTAAGGTCCAAAGGGTCCAAAATTAAACTTTGTTTGATTTTAGCAAAAATTGAATTCTTGGGGTTCTTTGATATGCTGAATCTAAACATGTGTTTCGATTTTTGATTATGGGCCCAGTTTTCAAGTTTGTTCAAGTTGGGGTCCAAAATTAAACTTTGTTTGATTTTAACAAAAATTGAATATATGGGGTTCTTTGATATGCTGAATCTAACCATGTATTTTGATTTTGGACATTGGACCATAATAGGTAAATTAAAAAAAATTCAAATTCTTAGACCACATTCTTTCTGTGTCAGAAACCTATGCTGTGTCAAATATTTAATAACAATCCAAATTCAGAGCTGTATCAAGCTTGAATGTTGTGTCCATACTTGCCCCAACTGTTCAGGGTTCGATCTCTGCGGTCGTATCAAGCTGCGCCCCAGCGAAGCATTTTATTTTTTGTTGCCTGGATAGGATAATGCATTTTTTTTTTAGGTTTTCTGTTAAATAAACGTGAGTTTTATCTTCAGAAATGGAAACTATTTTTTTTTAGTGGATTAATTCTATCTTTGCTTCCTTTACATACAGTACTACCAAAATGTTTCATTGTGTTGCACAGTAGATATATATTTATTACCTGCAGTACAACTATATACCTTTTTATTTTAGTATGTTGTATCCAGTAGAAAATCTACCATTTACTGAGAGTGGAATGGTTCCAGATATTATATTCAACCCTCATGGTTATCCATCTAGAATGACAATTGGTGATTCATCATGGGCTGATTAGTGTCCATTACAAATTATTTAGAAAGCTAATGATTTGAACACTATAGCTGACTTTTTATTCTGATATTGAAAATCAAATTATTCTACTTTTCACCTGAGTTTTTCTGTTATCTACCTAGGAGACAGTGCTTTGGTACTGGCATCATTTAAATAATTTTTTTTTCTCCTAAATTTCACTTTCTGAATTATGTAATTGAACTAAAGTGATTTTTTTTCAATTCATTTCTGAACATTTGCCATTTGATAGCAACCTATATTAATCAGTCAATTTACTATTTACAAAGCACAATAGCGTTCTTTGCTTAGATGTCTTTTATGGATATTGTTCCCTATTGAGTGATGAATGTTAATATGAAGGTCATCTACAGAAAATAAATATAAGCAATATGGTACATTACAACATACAAATTGTCATTTACAATGTATGTTTTCAACTGTTTTACAGGTATGATGATAGAGAGTATGGCAGGAAAGTCTGCTGCTTCACATGGCCACTGTTATGATGCAACACCATTTAAATACACAGAAGACCAACCACCAATTGATTATATGGGAAAAATGCTGAATGCAGGTAATCTATGTTGGTTCCTTAATAACAAAACTTATTTAGATTGAAATTCTTTTTCTATATTTTAAACAATTATAAATTCCATCATGTAAAAATTAATTTTTCTATATTGATTTCAGCTGGATATAATTACTATGGGACAGAGAGATTATATAGCGGAGTAGATGGAAGGGAATTGGAGGCAGACATCTTTATTGGCATTGTCTATTACCAGAGACTAAGACACATGGTGTCTGACAAATTTCAGGTTTGATACTTGTAAATCATGAAAAATTGATTATGGCCGTTTTGTATTATGGTTCAAGCTTTGTCATTCCTTATTAGTCAAGCATTATAACTTGCATATGTATATAAATGAAAAAGATGTCAGTGAGACAGCAATCCAGCTATAAGAAAACCAAAAACATATATAATCAACGTAGTCTTTATTACAGACAACTAATTTAACATAAAGTATGCCCTCTAAAACCATACAGTAATTGCAAAACATATTTAGATGCATTTGTGGCAAAAACATATTTAGATGCAGTAATACCTTTGAGGAAATGTTTTATAGTACCAATTCCTTTGAAAATTAAACTTAAGGTATGTGAAGAGAAAAATTAATAATTCATTTCTTAACTTAACTGAAGGAAATAAAAATAAATGCTTAAATTTTGTCAAAAATATTTTCCAATATAAATGATACAGAGAGTAAAATACATTTTAACTTTTTATAGGTACGAACCACAGGTCCAATAGATCAGGTGACCCATCAGCCAGTGAAAGGAAGGAAGAGAGGAGGAGGAATAAGATTTGGAGAGATGGAAAGGGATGCTTTGATATCTCATGGTTCAGCATTTTTATTACAGGACAGACTTCTCAATTGTTCAGATTCATCATTAGTAAGTAGTTTATTGAAGCCAGAATTTGGTAGTGATATTTCATATTCATAGATTTTACAGCAGAACAAATTTCTTACAAGACCCGACATACCCTTTTTCCAGCGGCGATCAAATGTCCTACCTTTTATTGCCATTGAATCATTTTAAAGAACCAAATTGTTTTACTATTTAATTCTTTCACATTTAGAATATACTTTAAATATTTTCCACTAAAAGTTTAGCAAATAACAAAACATAATAATTCTGTCCATTTTTTGGCTGACTGGAATGTCAGAAGCGATTTTATCACATTTTGGGACATGAATAGTTGCAGATACCATGTAAATTTCACATGAAATGTTTGTATTCCTGCAGAATTATTTGGAAAATAAAAAGAGGTCAACAAACTCTAATAATTCATTTCTTAACTTAACTGAAGGAAATAAAAATAAATGCTTAAATTTTGTCAAAAATATTTTCCAATATAAATGATACAGAGAGTAAAATACATTTTAACTTTTTATAGGTTTGTTGTTTAAATCAAAAATAGGCTAATTGCAACAAATAAACAGTACTTGTGTTTTATATATGATTTTTTAGTAAATCAGAATTCAGACTCTAGTTTGTAGGTGTCTAAAAAGCTGAATAGTTTAAACATTTTTAAATATATATTTAATATATTTTACAGGCTCATGTATGCAAAAAATGTGGAAGTATTTTATCACCATACATGGACAGACCTCCATCAGCTAATGCAGCAGTATCTGCAGAACAAGAACGTAAATGGGCATGTTCTATCTGTAAACAAACAAAATCTATAGAACTTATCAAAGTGCCTTATGTGTTCAAATACCTTGTAGCAGAGTTAGCAGCTATCAATATAAAGGTAAACTTGGATATCCAAGCATTTTAAACATCCTCAAGACACCTGTTATTAAAAGGAACCCATGGAATGTTAATAATTCCATAACCTCATCTTCTTATACTTGTGAATAGATTACTGGATTTATTTGTACATTTTCAGGATATACATTTCATGATGTAAAAGATGCATATTGCAGTTGTCTATGAAATAAATGCATCTGTGGCATTCTTTATGAGTAAATAGCTATGTGTTTATAGGTACTTTGTTTATTTGTTATGTTTCATTAAACAATATGTGAAACTTTAATGTTTTGTTTATATTTATTCTCTTCATTAATATTTGTCCTTCAAGAATTACTACTACTTTGCCACAAAGATTTATTATAAGATTATGTATTAAGCATATCACTAATTCATGGTTCCAAACAGTCAAAAGTTGTATTAACATAGGGATATTCTGTACAAAGCATGACACTTACTTATGGTTCCATACAGTCAAAATTGATTGTATTAACAAAGGGATATTCCATACACAGCACATCACTAATTCATGGTTCCATACAGTCAAAATTGTATTAGCATAGATATATTATGTACAAAGTATAACACTTAAACTTGGTTCTATACTGTCAAAATTGTATTAACAAAGGGATATTTTTTTTTTGCTGTGCATGTACTGATTTTGTGTCATGGATGGATACCCCATATCCTTTATTTTTCTATTAAAGCATGTTACTTATTCATTGTTCTTTTAAGTCAAAATTGTATTTACATAGGGATATTCCATACACAGCACATCACTAATTCATGGTTCCAAATAGTCATAATTGTATTAACATAGATATATATTCTGCACAAAGCATGACATTTATTCATGGTTCCTTACAGTCAAAATTGTATTTAACATAGGGATATTCTGTACAAAGCATGACACCTACTTATGGTTCAATACAGTCAAAATTGTATTAGCTTAGAGGTATTATGTACAAAACAGTCACTGATTCATAGTTCCATACAATCAAATTGTATTAACATCGGGATATTATGTACAAAACATGACACTTGTTTATGGTTCTATACAGTTAATATTGTATTAACAGAGGGGTAATAAATACACAGTAAGTCACTAGTTCATGGTTCCATACAGTTAAAATTGTATTAATATAGAGACATTCTGTAAATTGTATTATCATAGGGATATCCCGTACACAGCATGTCACTATTTCATGGTTCCAAACAGTCAAAATTGTATTAACATAGAGATAATATGTACAAAGTACGTCACAAATTCATGGTCTCAAACAGTCAAAAGTGTACTAACATAGGGATATTCCATTCAAAGCGTATAGTCAAAACTAATAACAAATTGACAACGCATACAATGCATAGCACTACTTTGTGGGTCCATTCAATAGAAATTATAAATCATCAGGAATGATTCATACAAAGCATGTCACTAATTCATGGGTCAGGACAGTCAAAATTGTATTAAATTTTTAAGTCAGGGATTTCATTACCACAAAAAAACTTTACTAGATTATTTCAAAGATAGAAATATTTGTTTTGGAAGTTTGGCTGTACCTGTAAAAGTGCCTTTTTACAAACATGGTATCACATCTTCAATTTTACAGAGATTTTGTTTAAAGAGCCCATACATTTAATATGATCCATATAAATCTATTAATCCTTTGAATAAACTTGTTCTTAAAAATTATCAGTTTCAGCTGCATAATCTGTTATGTCTTATCGTTTGTAGTCCAAATAATTATAAAATTGCCTTTCCATACCATCATTGTTATGAAAATAGTTTGGACGAATATTGTGAAAATAATTGTATAAAGTTCGAGATTGCATGAATTTCTGTCATGTAGTGTTTTAGCGATATTTTTGTCGAGCCTGCGACTTTTGTCGCAGAAAGCTTGACATAGGGAAAGTGATCCGGCAGCGGCAGCATTAGCTAACTTCTTAAAAGCTTTATATTTTAGAAGCTAGAAGACCTGCATGCTTCATACTTTGTATATAGATGCCTTATGTTACGAAGTTTCTGTCTGTCATATGTCAATTGTCCTTGACCTCATTTTCATGGTTCAGTAACTACTTGAAAAAAAAGTCAACTTTTTTGGTAATGTTAATTTCTTTCTTATTATGAGTAAAAGGATAACTATATTTAATATGTGCGTAACTTGCAAGGTCCTCATGCCCGTCAGACAATTTTCATTTGACCTCGACCTCATTTCATGGATTGGTGAACAAGGTTAAGTGTTCGTGGTCAAGTCCATATATCAGATACTATAAGCAGTAGGTCTACTATATTTGGTATATGGAATGATTGTAAGGTGTACATGTCCAACTGGTAGGTGTCATCTGACCTTGACCTCATTTTCATGGTTCAGAGGTCAAAGTTAAGTTTTTGAGTTTTGGTCTTTTTTTCTAATACTATATGCAATAGGTCAACTATATTTGGTGTATGGAAATATTTTATGATGTACATGTCAGTCTCGTAGGTTTTATTTGACCTTGACCTCATTTTCACGATTCATTTCTCAGTGTTATGTTTTTGTGTTTTGGTCTGTTTTTCTTCAACTATAAGCAATAGATCAACTATATTTGTTGTAAGGAAGGATTGTAAGGTGTATATGTCTGTCTGGCAAGTATCATCTGACCTTGACCTCATTTTCATGGTGCATTGGTTAATGTTTAGTTTTCATGGTTAAGTTTGTTTCTTAGATACTTTAAGCAATAGGTCAACTATATTTAATGCATAAATTGATTGTAAGGTGTACATGTCTGTCTGGCAAGGTTCATCTGACCTTGACCTCATTTTCATGGCTCGTTGGTCAATGTTAAGTTTTCTTGGTTAAGACTGTTTCTTAGAAACTATAAGTAATAGGTCAACTATGTTTGGTTTATTGAATGATCGTAAGGTGTACATGTATTTCTCGTTTGGTTTATCTGACCTTGACCTCATTTTCTTGGAACATGTTTAGTTTATGTGTTACTTGTAGTAAAGCTTTATATTTAGGACTATCAACATAAAATCAATGGTTAGTAAAGAAGGAGAGACATTTCAGCGTGTGCACTCTTGTTTAACATTGTCATAAAGCGGGAGGTTTAGCATGCCATGAAACCAGGTTCAACCCACCATTTTTTCTTAAAATGCCCTGTACCAAGTCAGGAATATGGCAGTTGTTATCAAATAGTTCGTTTCTATGTGTGTTGGCGTTTGTTTTTGTTGTATTTCGTTGTTCCTGTTGTTCCTTTGTTTTCCTCTTATAGTTGATGTTTTTCCCTCGGTTTTGGTTTGTAACCCGGATTTGTTTTCTCTCAATCGATTTATGACTTTTGAACACTGATATACTACTGTTGCCTTTATTTATCATTGTAGTAAGATCTCTAAATATTGCCTTTGAGGTTCTAAACATGATTCATCATTTATTTTTAAATAAGTTAAAACATATCTAAATGCTATTGGTTATCAGTTCAGAAAACTTATGATCCTACATCCTGTTGATAATGATAATTGTGCATTGTACAATGTCATGCTTTTCTCAGACTGCTGATGACGTCTTTACACATAATCAGTTCGATGTGAACTGTTTGGTATTTTAGTCTTGGAAAACTTTTTATTTATCATTGTTTATTTATTCCTTCTACACGTGATAAAATGAAGTAAAGGTTATCCCTGCTGTAAAAGATTTTTAGTGATGAAAAAATTCGCTCATTGAAATTTGAATTGTTACTTGAAATGTGTGCATATAAAACCCGATGAGAAATAAAAACTCAAAAAGAAGCAACCAACTGTACATCACTATCAAGAAAAGGAAAGATAACAACACTTGGGCAATGCATGTTTTCCTTATTTCGTCTTCACTTCTACCTAACAACATTGTTATGTAGAGCTGGGAACAATATATCTATATATATGTTCCTGTGTAGAGATAATCGAGAAAAGAAATGATCTTCTTTATTGAACACAATGTGTGACTATGTACGAAGATTAATTTCACTTATAAAGAAGATGGATAAATCAATCGATGTTGAAATTACATATTATGTTAGACACAAGGGAATTGTTTGTTATTGTCTTCAAAATTGTTAATGCATTTAAGATTTAGCCAGACACTCGAGATACTATTTCGAAGTTTGTTATCTGTTAATATCTAAATGATGGTAAAAGGTTTGGATTTGAGTAAATGCATTACGCTCACCTGGAACAAAGATATATGTTCTGCTAGTCAATTCAAGCCCTCAACCTGAAATTAATTTTCAAGCCCTGCCCAAGCACACTTTGAATTATTTGATATACTAAGGACTTTTTAACCTAGGAATATATTACCTTAGCTGTATATATGTGTCAAAACCTTTCGGAATTTTGGGTCCCCAATGCTCTTCAGTGTCGTACTTTATCTGGCCTTTTAACTCTTTTTGATTCGAGCGTCACTGAAGAGTCTTTTGTAGATGAAAAGCGGCTCTGGCATACACAATTTTTAGACTGGTATCTATGATGAGCTTATATAGTTCATTCCATTGTATGTCAGATGTGTCCATTCACCTGCACATTACAATTGTTGTGAAGTTTTTATCTTTCGATCAATAGATGTGTTAGGAAAGGGATTTAAATGCTGCGCTGATGTTAAATAACAATACCTATACAAGATTTAAGTGTTGATTTTGTCAAAATACAATTGCATTGAAAAGTATCCAGGCGTAGCATAGTTTAACTTTGTGGTGTGTTTGATACAATATACATGTAGCAAACAACTAACGTGTCAATATTTTAAGACGTGCATGGGGATTTCATAGATACTGAGAATGTGTATTTGTATTTGTTTGATATAGGAGTGCAAAAAAACTTTTAAAAAATATTAAAAAGGTAAAAAATGAGGATGGAAGATTTTACGGCCAAATTAGTCTAAATATAAACATTGAATGATATGAGTTGAATATGTTAAGTATACACATTCTCCAAACGTTCAGCATACAGTTCAACAATCCTTAAAAAAAATTTAATGATCTATGGCGTTTTCAACATAAATCTACACTCTGAAATTTTTCTATTCATAGTTTTTGTATTTTCTGTTTTCCCTTCGCGGGTTTTGCCTGAATTGGTGTCTCCGATTTGGCGTGACTACTGGATGGATGGTTCGTATAAATCTTATCACATGAAATTACTCCTTTTGTAGGAAAACCCAATTCTTGGAAAAAGGTCAAGAATTCAGTGAATATGGGGATCTCCCGAGTAAAATCGCTTCTACCGGATAAAGGCCACAATCAACTAGCTGAATAGTTTGCGTGCGCATACGGACC